CCCACTTACTCTCTTTCATTGGTCTAGGGGCAGAGCTTTCTATGGATCTATTTCTTCTGAGGTAATACCATACCTAGTTATTTCTGCTCTATAAGAATCTCTGGCTGGGCTGGAGAGATGGCTCAGTGGCACCAACCGCTCTTCCAGAGGTCCTGAGTTTGATTCCCAGCAGCCACATGGTGGCTCACAGCCATCTGTAATGGGATCTGATGCCCTCTTCTGTTGTGTCTGAAGACACTTATAGTGTACTCATATACATAAAATAAATAAATCTTTTAAAAAAAAAGAATTAAGAAAAACCAACACAGCTGGGCAGTGGTGGTGCACGCACGCCTTTAATCCCAGCACTTGGAAGGCAGAGGCAGGCGGATTTTTGAGTTCAAGGCCAGCCTGGTCTACTAAGTAAGTTCCAGGACAGCCAGGGCTATACAGAGAAACCCTGTCTCAAAAAATCAAAAGGAAAAAAAAAAAAGAATCTCTGGCATCTGATAAAGCCTTCCAATTTAGTTCTTTTTCACACACATGAAAATTCACATTTTTATGCCATTCTACATGCATTTACAATTACCCACACATTAACCCTTTGTTTATTTTTAGCTATACTTTCACTATTCCATCTGAAATGAACTTCTAGCTAACCATTTCGCTTCAATATTTGATTAGTGAATGTGGTGGTTTGAATATGCTTGTCTCAGGTAGTGGCACTATTTGGAGGTGTGGCCTTGTAGATGTGTCACTGTGGGGGTGTGCTTCAAAGCTCCTCCTAGTGAAGAAGAGTTAAGTCTCCTAACAGCCTTTAGATAAAAATGTAGAACTCTCAGCTCCTCCTGCAGCATGCCTTCTTGGATGCTGCCATACTCCTGCCTTGTTGATAATGGACTGAACCTCTGAACCTGTAAGCCAGCCCCAACTAAATGTCCTTATAAGAGTTGCCTTGGTCATGGTGTGTGTTCACAGCAATGCAAACCCTAAGACAGCGAAGGTGTTCTTATTTCCAAGTCTTCCAATTTTTCTAGATAGCCTTTACTTAACCTTTCCTTCTTTCTTAACCCTTTCTTTCTTTGCTGAATATGGAATTCAATGTAGTAAAACTGCTACTCTAGTTTCAATGTTTCATTATTGTTGCATGTGTATGGGAGAGAGCAAGCACACACATGTGCCACACTCAGCACATACGTGGTGGCCAGAGGACAGTTTTGGGGAGCCAGTTTGATTTCACCATGTGGGTCCTGGGGATCTAGCTCTGGTGGTCCACCTTGGCAGCAGTGGTTGGGAAGAAACACCGTAAAACAGACTTTACTGGCTGAGTCATCATGACTGGTGAGATTTATTGACTCTGTGTTACTACTTGTGAATTATTTTGTCCTTTTTTGGGGGGAGACAACTATATCACTGGAAAATAATTTTAGTTCTAGTCTTTATGTATTTTTAAATATCTGGTCTTACTACTTTAGAATATTACCATGCTGTCAGAATACTATTTAAGACACTTAACACAATGTTTGAATAGAAATGACAGTGGAGAGAAGAGGCGACAGAAGGACTAGGATGTCTGCTGTGAGACTGCCTTTTGTATATGACAGGGAAAGCACACCCCTGAAATCTCAACAATATGGCTGCCTAACTAAGACCTGAGTGATATGACCAGTTGGCATGTCAGCAGGAATAGGGAAATCTCACAAGGTACCTACCACCTCTAGACGAAGCACTACAGGAAACTAACGGCTGCTGAGACAGAGAGAATCAGAGAGGGATGAGCCCCCTCACTGGCTATTCAATCCAAGTGGTCCATCCTACAAATAAATACATAAGAGAAACACTGAGTGCTAGATGGACTCAGCAGGTTGTATTTCTATATTTATTATGGGTGTGTAACGGTGATAATTAAAGAAAAAGTAGCTAAGTATTTAAGAGTGATGGGAGATAGGAGAGGTTGAAAGAAAGAGAAGTCAGGAATTATGTAAATACAGTACATATGTATGCAAGTCAAATAATACATGAATGGCACATCCCTGTCTTGGGCCTGCTCTAAGGGCTGTCAGCATACCAGTGTTAGGTAAAATGTTTGCTGTAGGCTTTGGGTGATCTCCTTCCTCACATTAGAGAAATTCTCTTTTCCTATTTCACTAAGAAGTTTTGTCATGAATGCATGGCAAATGTCTCTGAAAATACCTTATGCCTATCCCCTGGTTCCTTTTGTGTTGTAATATAATTGAATAATTTACATGTTACTTTGAAATATTCAGCGGATGTTTCATTTATTACATAATTGACATTTGGTCATGAGATGCTTTTAACACTCACTGCCTGATTCACTGCTAATCTTTTGCGTAGACCTTTGTAATTGAGTTTGGCTTTTATCACCCTTTTCCGTTCTGTACTAGTCTACTGAAGAAATAAAGATTAAAACAAGATGAGGAACACTTCCCCTTTTCTATTGCATGATATAAAATGCCTACGTCTTGAATATCTGGTTGTATATGCTTGTTGTATCAGCCAGGGTTCACACAGGAAGCAAATCACAGGATATTATATAATAGATAATTTAGTATAGAAATGAAATCCTGTAGAATTGCAAGGGGCATTAGGAAAGTCAAATCTAGGAGGAGAGCATGGTCATGTAACAGGACGAGGCAATGGGAAACACGGGTAAGTAAGAACTGTAGGAAAACCATGGGACCAATCCCTGATCCCCAGTGGTAACATGTAGTGGAGTAGGTTTGTGGGAGGCTGATGCATCTGGGTGTGGTGGCGGGCCTGAACTCACTGGTTCTCAGAGGATCAATCGAAGATCAAGCAAAAGACATGAAGGTGCTCACTAAACGCAGCACTCAGGAGAATGACCCGAACCTCAGCTAGGCAGCACAGTAGAGCTGGCCCTGGTAGTGAAGGTGCAGAAGGGCCAGCTTCATGGGCCTTATGAGAGAAGGAGAGCTAGCCCCTTGTCTGGGCAAAGTGAGAGAGATGACCCTTGTGGCACAGGCATAGGAGAGCTGATGGGCTGACCAACTTAGCTCCCACCCAGGCCCAGATCCAGAGCTCTGAGTTGGCTCACCTAAACATCTACCTCATCTATGAACTGCTGGAGTGTGAGACAGGGCTCAGCCTGTAGATCCAAGGCTACAGGATCTCCATGACACAAGGCAACAACAAAGTATCAGAGAGGCATCCCAGTAAGGATCCAGTATTGATACCACGGCATAAGCCAGAGGCCTTGAACCAGACCAATGACTCAGGTCAATGAACATTTGCAAGTTACACTGTTTGGGCAAAAGGCTATACTTCATGACAGACTCCAGCTTCCACAGCGAGATTCTTATTTATTTGTTTATTTATTTGTTTGTTTATTTATTTATTTATGGAGGTTGCAAGGGCAGATACTAAGGGGCAGGGAGATGAGTGGTATTGGGGGTGTATGATGTGAAACTCACAAAAAAATCAATGAAAAATTTAAAGGTCGTGAGAGTGATCAACAGCCTGGCAGCAGTCACTGTGAGGAAGAGTGGGAGGAACGTCTGCACCTGCATATGCGCCTGCGCCTGCGCACATCTCAGTGACCAGCTCTGGACAGAGCACAGAGGACGAAAGCTCCCATCTGACCCTGTACTTCACGACTGGAGTGGGAAGCCTGGTGTTTTCCTGGTTGCCACCATAGAGCTTCTAGCTGTAGAAACCCTGTCAATAGAACATGTCAATAGACATGCTTCAGGCATGTCTGGACTGAGGAGCTGGGAACTGCACAGAGGGGAGTTTTTGTAACGACATAAAAAAGAAAAACACAACAAAGCATAAAATCTTGCTGAAATGACAGGAACGTTTTTAATTCCCTGGCCATTTTGCTTAGTTGTTTTGGGGTGTATGTGTGAAGAGTTCCGATTTACTATACTTAGTGGTGCTATCACATTCTCAACGACCATACAATGATCATATACTCATGTGAAAAGGGCACTTGATAACCAGACAAACCTGGATTCTAAAACCTTGCTAGGTGCCACAGAGGGCAGAGTGTTCCTTTCACACGGAGTAGGCGACAGCAGACTCTTCTTATTGGGTGCTATGTACATCAAGACCATTAGAATTAGAAAATTAAATGTAGTCTAGAAAAGCTACACATCAAATACCTTAGATGAAAATGCTTTTAAAATGTGTATCTTCAAACATGCGTCTCTTAGAGACTGAAGATGGAAGAAGGGAAGGCACATCTCCAGGGTGACATACTGACCAAAACCCCACACAGCACGCCTGTGCTCTAACCAGACCAGAGGCTGCTGGTGCAGCCTGGATAGACATTCACAAGAGTTCCTATTACTAAGATTTCCTCATTAGTGCAAAGCTTAAAGGAAGTGAGGATTTTCTGGTTCAAACACAGTGATATATTTTGAGAGACTGTGGTCTCATAGTCCACTGGTGATCTTGAGATTCTAAAAGAGGTACGTTTACATACACAAATGGAAGTCAGTTAGTTAAGGCTTCAGAAAGGTTAACTTGGGAGGAGAAACAAGAAACACCTGGAAAGGTCGTGTCTATTATTTTTCCGGGGTCAGTTCACTTAGAAATAAAAGATGGGTCTTATGAACTTGTAGGCTATCCATTGTCAACTAAAGAAAAACTAAATTCAGAAAAAAAAAATTGGTCAAAAGAAAGTGTCACACTGAAGAATTAACTAAGGTCCTCAAACCTGAAGTCATCCTGCCCTCAAATGTCCACACAGGTGTTTCTACAACATGTCCACTTTGAAAACATGGGTGCTCATGCTTTTTTATTCTGATTACATAACCCAGATCCAAAGACTTAAGGATTAATAAGTGGTAAAGATAGACAACGGGAGGAGTTAATGCCTGGCCTGCATAGCCTGAAGCCCCGGACTGTCGTGACACTGTATGGACACCCTGTAACCTCAGTGCTACCCACGCCTTGGCTGTAAGGAAGATGAGTCATTAGAATTAGAGTTGCTTCAATCTTCTTTATAGTGACAGGATTAGTGAATTACTTTGGTCCGGCTCAAACTGTAACAAACACCATCAAATTATAATAAAATGCTGATGTTTTAGGGTGATTTTATTTAAATAATTAGAGTAAATTGATGTAAATAAATCAAGCAATTTGTTTACAATCTCATATCTTAAATTTAAAAAAATCTATGCAAACAGAAGAATTTACCATTTTCCCTGGGAAAGACTGCAAGAAGAAAAGACAATAATTAAGAAACATGATTGTCTCTTAGAAAATGTTTTTAACGTTAAATATTTTCATTCAGAGATTTTTTTATAGTATAAAAATAGATGATCTAATTCTGAATACATCAGATTCTAAATTACAATTATTTTCACTAATTTATCACAATTCAGAAGGCAAAATTATGAGCATGGGCCACACTTATAGTGTTTCTCAGCAATAGTTATGTTCCAACCATTTCATGAGATTGAGCTAAGACTTCTATGTAGATCATATAATTTGTTGTTCTGCAATTGACAGAGCATAGGATCACCTGCTTTAACCCATTTCTTCTGAGGCAACAAGGAGAAGAGGCAAAGAGTCCAGTGAAGAAGACACAGTTTCTATGTGAATGTCTTGACTTTGGTTTCTAATGATTTTCTCCACTTCTCTTTTGAATGTCTTCAATGAGACTGCTTAAAGCAAGAAGCAAACGTCACAGCTATGCAGCTATGCAGCTGTGCAGCTGTCTTCAGGACCCTGAGCAGTGATTAGCCTTGGAGACTGGAGTACCAAATCTATAGCACTCCACCATCTATCAGCCTGGTTTGTTATTTCCCCCTCTGTACCTTCTGTCTACTCCCAGTTTCTACTGAACTGGCTCTGTTTGCTGTGGCAGGTCTGGAGCCCTTTGTTGACAGGATCCATTAGCTGACTGGAGAGAATGCAGCTTCTCAGCCCCCACAGCTAGAGGCCATTCCCTGTAGGAGGGTAAGTGGGAGTTTCCCTCCATTTCCTGGGGTCCTTTGTCACTTGATGGTGGAATCCAGCAGCTTTGCCCTGTGCCCATTCCATATATGTTGGGCTTCTGTCTCCATGAAGTCAGATGCACCGACCCTATTCAAACAAGATGGACAGGAGGACAAGAGAGAAGGATGAAGGGAACAGAGGAGATAAAGGGAGAGGACGGAGGGATAGATACAGATGAGGAGATAAAGAAGAGATGAAGGGGAAGAGGAGATTTTATTGTTCACAATGTCTAGAAAAAGAGATCCTTGTAACAGTCATGGGATAATAGACTTAACACATAAGAAACAAAGGAACCCATTGGCAATCTATCTGGGGCTCATTTTTAAAATTGGCAAACCCTCAGTTGGTTAAAATGGTCCAAAGAGCTAAGAGTGCTCTCTGGCCTTTCCTGTGGACATCTCTGCATCAGGACCATGAATGCCTTAGTACAACATTTAGATTTGAAACACATTTCCTTCCTCCCAGAGCGGTTCTCTTTCCCTCAACTTAACTCTTCACGTAACCCTTGCCCATCGGTGCTGGCTGACGTCCATGGAGATGGCTCTGTGCTCAACCACTGCAACTATGCTTCCATGCTTTTCTAGAGCAGAGGGTGCACTGGTTCAGAGCCCAAACTGACCTTCAACTCTTTCCCCACTCTCCCTCCCACCCAACCTCTGTGTGTACTTTCACTGAAAACACCTATGAGGAGACATGATGGGGGATTGGACTACTCACGTGGAAAGCTAATGAGTGGATTGACACATTTGCTGTCGAGTATATAACAATGTTAATATTCTAACCCCCCCCAGGTTCTCAACCTTCCCAATGCTGCGACCCTCAGGCTGCGGTGACTCCCCAACCAAAACATTATTTTCATTGCTACTTTACAACTGTAATTGTACTACTGTTATGACTTGTAATGTAAATGTCTGTCTCCCAGCAGTCTTAGATGTATTTGACCTCCAAAGAGGTTGTAACCCACAGGTTGAGAACTGCTGTTCTAATCCATTCTGGAGTATAGCCTTAATGGTATGAATCCCCTGCCTCTGGTATAACCACATTGCTGTCAAATCTTTGAGCTTTGGATTAAGTTGCAAAATCTTACCACGTGTTCCTTCTAAGCAGATTTTCTCTGAAAGTTACGATTTGTTGTTAGCTGCTTAAGGAAAAGTAGTAACTACAAGACAACCGTTTACCTTTTAATCGTGCTAGTCACAAGACCTAGACAACTACTGAAAATCTGAGTTTCAAAAGTATCCAGACAACAGTCACCATAAATAAACATTTATAACAGTGTTTGTTCAATTCCTTAATGAGTCTTAATAATGCTCAAATTAGGCAATAATTTTTTTTTCTGAATTTAGCATTTTAGGTTACAGCGCAGACCATCTTCAAAATGGAAATTTAGAATGAGTTTTCTGTAATAAGACCCCAGGTTCTCCCTACCGGAAGCCGGAAGAGGGCGGTATGGCAGTATGTGTGATGGGAACTACCAGGAAATATAAGTAGCACTGATACTTATCTGGCTCCTGCCATTAGCAAGGGACCTGTTTTTGTTGGCTCAAAGATTCCCTTTGCCTTCCCGGACAGCATATGACACAAAGGCATGTTCCCCGCTGCCCTATGGGTTGTAAAGTGGACAATGATATCTGAGACCCAAGCCCAGGAGGCGGATCAGAATACAAGTCCTGGCAGAAGAACCACAGCAAAGGATGCGTCACTCTGTTCCTATCAGAATAAGCTCCAGGAGAGCTAGAGAATTTGGCTCGAGTCTACGGTCCCTTAGTGGTCTGACTGGTCTTCTCAGCCAAGAGTCTGGCTGAGGGCTAGCTAGAGTATGCTAAAATCCCTAGGAGAAAGCCAGATCAACTTTCATTAATAAGAACACTCCCACCAGCCCATGGAACCTGTTTTGGGGGAACCATTTCCATCCCCAGGGCAGCAACTGGTAAGAACCAGTACTAGGGATGGCCTGCAGTCCAAAACAGCTCACAAAAGGGACTAAGTCCTGTGGATTTGCTCAGAGTGATCTAGTAGACTATAGTGTGCCTGGAGATGGCTTACACAGGGACTTTTTTTTTTTTTTCGAGACAGGGTTTCTCTGTGTAGCCCTGGCTGTCCTGGAACTCACTCTGTAGACCAGGCTGGCCTCGAACTCTCAAACTCAGAAATCTGCCTGCCTTTGCCTCCCAAGTGCTGGGATTAAAGGCGTGCGCCACCACCACCCGGCTTACACAGGGTCTTTATGGAAGAGGGAAATGCAGTCAAATGGGTTTCTCTAAACTCCTTGGTATGTCACCTCCCAGTGCTCACTCAGCATAGACAAGGCTAAATGGCCTTTTGTGACTAGATGACATTTGTCAGTGGAAAACACTTTTGATCAAGGTAAAATACCTACTTACCAGGCTGTAGGGAGGAAGACAGGCTAGCATCTACGACTGCATTGTTCGTGCCAGCTACAGGCAGACTCCCATTCTTGGGCTCTGGGTGTTCTTCTAGGACCACAAACTGAGGAAAAGAGAAGGATTCAGGAGATAGCTGCTGTGATCCAGAAGCCACCTCGTTAAACATTTAACTGTAGCCAATCGCACCCACGCAGTGGGAGGTAAGGCTGGAAGGAAGACCTTGTCAACTGTCTTCAGCTACTGAGAGACTCCGTCTTTCAAACTTTCTTTTTATAATTTTACTATGTGTACAGGTGTTTTGACTACATATGTTTCTGTGCACTGTGTGTGTGCCTGATGCCCATGGAAACCAGAAGGGGGCACTGGATCCCCTGGAACTGAAGTTACCGATGGCTGTGAGCTGGGATCAAATCCCAGTCCTCTGGGAGACTAGTCGGTGATCTTAACTGCCGAGCCATCTCTCCAGCCCGAGAACTTCCAGAAAAGCTCCTGGAAACCTTGCATTAATTTCTACTAGGGCACACAACTATTTTTACTGGAGATTCTGTTCTGATTCTGGACTCTTGGGTTAAGAATCTTGGATTCCTGGAGGCTACTGTTTTGCTGCAAATGCTACAAGTATCCATAGGTATCATGAGTACTGCCCATCGGCCAGATAAATAACATTGCATATATGTGTATGTGTGTATGGGCTATCACTTATGTGTGTGTGTGTGTGTGTGTGTGTACACATAAGGTTATATGTAATTCATTTAAGCATACTATCAAGTCCCAAGTAATTAAGGTCACTAGTAAGTACGGATAACTACTAGCATAACAGCAGGGATTCCTCCAGCTGTCCCCTCATAGGTGAGCAGCTCAGGAGGCAGAGTGCTAAAAGGGAGGCCCAGATAAGAACAACAACACTTCTCTTTACTCAACAAACAATCATGTTTGTCATTGTTTGCATGGTTCAAACTCACTGCACACTTGCAGTGCAGGCTGAGCAGAGCCGACTGGCCTGCCTCAGGCCAGACAGGTTAGGTATTAGAAGAAATCAAACAGAAAGAGGAAGAATAGAAGTAGGCCATGCTCTGGGCACAGGACACAGGCTGGCAAAGTCCTTCCTTGTCAATAAGTAACCAGGTGAAGGACTGTCCCAAGGTTTGGACTTCTGTGTAGTTCAGAAGAGAGCCTTCCTCAGGAAGGACTTAGAACGCAGCAGTAAGGAACACAGGAAAAAAAAAAAATCTCTGTACCTATCTTTCCCATCAAGAGAAGTGTAGGGAGGTTTAATGAGTGGAGCCAATTAGGGAATAGGGACAGAGATGCTGCTGATGAGGGTGACTCTCAGGAGCTGTTTTCTCTCCCTTCTCATACCTCACACACTCGTCACCCTTAGTCACCTCCTCATTAATGGTCTCTCTGCAGTGACATATTGCAGACTCAATACAACGGCCTGCTGGGTAAGGGTGTAGGCTCATTATTTCTAGCTCCAGCCAAGATGCACACTGCAAATTTTCCAACCATGTGCCTCTCAGCCAGAAGCATACAAGCTCCAGGCCTCTGGCTGCAGCAGAAGGCAGCTGATGCGAGCAGATTTGTTTTTGCTGCTTGTCCTCCGGGTTTGGGAATCTCAGCTCTCCCCAGCTCCCTCGGACGTGTGCATCAGCAGTTGGTGTGGACAGCAGAAATGACAGCTGAGAGGGCACAGCTCAGCAGCCCCGGCTTCTGAATGAAGCTCGGAGCCAACAAGCTGCTTGCCACCGCAGCACGGATTTCTGATTTTTTTAACTTAATTTTTTTTTTTTTTAATTTAAAAGAGACACACATGAAGAAACCATTTCTCCTCTCCTATGATTTAAATGAGATTAATTAAACTTGCAATCTAAATCTCTACAGCCTGTCAAGTGCAAAGCAGGTAATTTAGCCGTCCACAAAGTCATGAGATCTCAAGGAACTAATACCCTAAATCACATGGCGTTTATGAAGATGGATCTTAGAGTTATACAGAAGAGGATGAGAGGCCCAGAGGTTAAAGCATTTGTTGAAGACTGGCTGGATGCTAAGGCTAAAAGTTTGAAAGCAGCTGCCAGCTGGAACAGGTTTCAGTTTCTCTGAACATCATGAAAAAAGAAGAAAACGAAAAAGGACACTTCTCAAGCAATTCTTAGCTTCATGTACTTTGATAACATTACCCAAGGTTGGGGACAAGAAGACATCCCATCCCTGCTGCTGTCGGGCCCGTTACTGCTCATGTTCCTGCTTGGCTCTTCATAAGGGTTCTTTGGGTTGTTTGACAGCTGCTTCTGAGTCCTGAGATAAAGCCAAAAAACCTGAGTCCATCTCGAAATGAAAACAGAACACCTGTCCCATTCCGTGATAATCTATCACAACTATTTTATCAAATTAGATCGATAGATGGTGCAAACGTAGTCAAGCACACAGCTGAAAACCCGCATCCTGTATGCAGCTCTGGGGGGCAGTACTGTTAGACAAATAGCTATAGGGTTGCTCACAGGGACTTACGCAACTCTGGATGCATTGCAAACACAAGGAAGCGTTCTAACAAGCCTTTTGAATAGTTCTTATCATGTGTGTGTGACCACAGGCTTGTGTGTGCGCACCTGTATGGAAGTGTGCCCTCATGTGAAGGTGGTACATCATTCTCAACTGCTCTACGTGTTATTTTCTGAAACAGTATCTCCAGTGAACCCAGAGCTTGCCAATTCAGCTAGACTGGCTGGTCACGAAACCCCAGGGATCCTCCTGTTTCTACCCCACCCCCAGGGTTGCACAGTATATACTGTGCATAAGTACACAGTGTGCCCTGCCTGATTATTGTATTGTATTGTATTGTATTGTATTGTATTGTATTGTATTGTACATAGGAACTGAGGGCTGAACCTGGATCCTTAGGTTCGTTTGGTAAACACTTTACTGACTGACTTATTTATGTTGGTCCTTCATCATTTTTGTTATTGGACTGTGGCAGTCAAAAGCTGAAAAACCACCATCCACACCCCTGCCGCTGCTCAGGCATGCTTACTGATGCATCCATGAAATCAGAGTACTCCAGAGGCTGAGGCAAACGAACCATGAGCTTGAGCCTAGTCCAGGTTACATAGAAAGACTTTGTCTTAAAAAAAAAAATCCAAATTTCTGAAAAATATTAAGTCACAAGTGTTAATACATCCAAAAAAATAATTATATCATCATTACCTTAACATTTTCTTTCTCTTTCTTTCAAGATGTAGTCTCACTATATATGTATGTGTGTATGTGTGTATGCATATGTGCACATATGCATATATGTGTGTGTGTGTGTATGTGTGTGTGTGTATGTGTGTGTGTGTGTGTGTGTGTGTATCTGGCTATCCTGGAACTTACTCTGTACACCAGGCTGGCCACACAGAGATCCACCTGCTTCTGTTCCCGAGTCCTGGGATTAAAGGTGTGCACTACTATGACTGAGAAAGTGTTTTGGGTTTCCTTCGTTGTTTGTTTTGTTTTCTGTTTTTGTTTTTTTTTTTTACATCTATCTTTGTTTGACATTCTTTCCAGGGGAATAAGCCATCGATAACTTAATATTCTTTCTACCGACATACAGAATCCAAATAATAGGCTAAGAAGCGCTGTTATACTGATGGGCCACCAAATTAAAAGTTCAAGAGTTTCCCAGGGAATCTCGTCTCCTAGAGGTGATGGAGAAGGTTTTCAAGTATATGTGCCTCTTACTAGGAAGATTACTGTTCATAGAAAACAAAGGTAGTGTTTATTACACCCAGTACACCAGGCCTATGGTAAACTCTTAACTCATACTTAACTCAGTCTCACAATAACTCTTGAAAGACGCACTATTTCCCCATACCTCATAACAAAGAAAACCAATGCCCACAAACAAGAAGGCATGCTGAGGGTACTTTCAGGTGCAAACTTGGATCTGAAACGCGCAAGTTGATTCCAGAGCCAACGCTATTTACTGCTACAGCATGCTACAGCGGGGGTCTTTGGGGAGAGCACCTGGCTGACTATGTTCAATTTTCTGGGATAGGTAACAGTTGTAACTGAGTACTTGCTCAGCTTTGGTAATGTGGTTGGATATTTACCTTCTGATGGCAGTAGGTACGTTACATATCACCAGAAAGCTGACACCTGCCAAGTAGGTGGGCCGCTGGACAATTTTATAAAGCCCCTTTATCAGCCTGAGTCTTGTGATTCCCTGATTTTTATTTTAACAGCACAGACTATTGTAACCCTTCCTAAGTTGTTTCAACTGATGACAGAGTGATATCATCACTTTAAAGGAAAGGAACAGGAGCACTGAGATGCCTGCTCCCCGACGCTAAGGTAGTGCTTTTACCTTAAATGCACGCAACCATCTCATGGTTTTAAAACCCCTAACTTTAAATTACAGAAAACAAAACCCAATGACCAGAATTCAGTTCCAAGTTAGGGAAGACCAAAAGTAGGGTTTGTGGGTAATCATCAGCAGGCAACCGTGAAAAATTATACTTATGCCGGCTGATGTGGTCACAAGATGCTAAAAGAAGAGATTGGAATGCAGTGGTGCATTGTGGGAGATAAGCACATCTGATGTGCGGATGTAGCGCATGCGCAAGGTTCTGGGCTCAGTCCGCAGCATCACCAAAACGGAGGACCACAGATCTTATACATGTGCACTGACTGGGAAGGAGAAGGCGGAGCACAGATGTTCATTGCAGTGAAGTCCAGGCTTTTGAAAAGAGCTTACTTCTCCTTTCTTTCTTTTTTTCTTTAAGTTTTATTATATATATATATACCGTAGCTGTCGCCAGACACACCAGAAGAGGGCATCGGATCCCACCACAGATGGCTGTAAGCCACCATGTGGTTGTTGGGAATTGAACTCAAGCCTCTGGAAGAGCAGTCAGCGCTCTCAACCGCTGAACCATCTCTCCAGACCAATTACTCCCCCTTTTAAATGTAGTATTTTACTCAAGTTCATCCCAAGAAAGTATGCATTCCCTGGGGGAGCTTAGAGAAAAGGTTAAGTTTCATGGTAAAGAATGGTTACCTGTAGTAGTAAGTCCCCCACATCCCCAAGAGGAGCAGCAGGACCAGCGCTACCACACAGACAGCCACCACAGTGATGTCACGCTTCTGCCTGTAGCCAGCATGACGCAGCTCCCACCATCGTAAGTCTCGGTGTTGACATCGCTCCCCAACATAGCCAACGACACAGCTGTGGACAACACACAAACAGAGGTCAAGCAGAGGCCCCTGGCACCCGAATTCTTACAAATTCAATATGCATTGTCTCTAACCCTGCACCTTTCCGGATGCAGCTTTGTGAGCCCATGATGTCAGCTGAAAGTACTGATTCACACATCAACACTCGCAGCATTGCCCCTTTTCTCAGCCTGCCTTTGGGATGATGGGGAGCTTTTTGCATACCGTCTCTATGAGGCAGAACAGAACACCGACTACAGATAAACTCTCAGGCTAAAGTCCTAAGGAGACTCCCTTTCTAAACCAACCCAAACCAGGAGACAACTGGAGACAGATGTCTGGCCAGACTGCAGCAGTCCTAGGTCAAAGGAAAGAACTAGAAAGTGGAGACCCTTGTTGAACATCAGGCTGTAATAGAAACGTACACATGGGCCCTGCACTGGAAGCAGAGCCTCGGCGAAGGAGAGACTGTTCGCTTTTGTAAAGCTCACCACTAGTCCAAGAGAAAGGGGCCATTTGCCTATAAACTCCTTACGGTCCAATGAGAGTTTTACTGTATCAGCCACCGCTTTGCTAGCAATGTTCTAAAGTAAGCGAAGCAATGCTGCCATCTACTGGAAGTGCTTGTTTCTAGAAACCAGAGCTCAGACAAACAAGGGCATTTTCTTCACACCAGAATTAACTTTTTAAAACAAATCCTACTAAATTTCCTCCTTCTTAGCCCCAGATCTACCACCAACCCATCCATTTCTCCATTTCATCCTAAAAAAAAACCCAAGGGACGAATGCACAGAAATGATACCAGCAGCCCTGGTGGGAAGACACAGCATGGAAGAACACTGTTGAAAGTTCTAGAAGATCTGGAATTCTCATCCTTAATCCTACCTTGAGCCCATTGTAAGAAAGTGGAAACTTACTTCTTCAGAAGGGAAGAAAAGGTGCAACACTTATTAGTCACCACAACCGACGCCATACTTACTACACACAGTTTTTACTTGCTATTTTTCATCTCTCTCTCTTTTTGTAGATTCCCCCTATTTTACAGGTAAGGAAACAGTCTCAGGATTACATAATCTGCATGAGGTCACACAGCTAATGATTGGCAGATCTGACTCACATGGCTCTCAGATGTCAATACATCCACGATGTCTGCTGCACTATGCTGTTTTTCACAGGGCTTCCTGCTTTAGTCTGAATGGACCGTGGGCGAGATGGCAGGAGCTGAGGCGGGGCCTAAGACTTGCTCAGACTTCCTGGGGGTCTATTTTTATTTCTAGCTTATTTTGGTTATAGCTATTCATTGACAATCCCAAATTGTCTATTTTTTTTAAGCTGTTGGATGCTAATGGGCTCAACTAAAATCTTGAGGACCGTGTCCACAGCAGTCCCGTGGCAAGCGCTTCTTCACAGTGTGGGGCACAACCATGAGTCTTTTGGATTATTTGAATTATTAATTAGTTTGGCTAAACCAAACAGAAGGTTTCCTGGGTAAACACATTTGAGTTTCCATGATCAAACAATACGAAGTCACTTTAGACCAAGTAAGGGTAAGGCAACCTTTTAAGTGAGATATGATCACAAAGCCACGAGGAATGGCAGAACTAGAATTCTCCAACCCCACCTGTCCTCAAGAAACCTCACAACCCTGCTGTAGGGGTTGCAGCCTTGAAAAAGATGTGTCAGAAGGATGTCTGGCCAAAGCCAAACAGGGAAGAATGAAGATCTCCTCTGAGCTCAAGAGTTGGAATGTCCCAAGAATCCAGGGTAGCAAAGGTATAGGGAACCAGTGGGCGTGGATGCTTCAGGAGTGTCCCTGATAAAGCCGCACTGACAGGAACCCCCTGAGGTTTGTTACAGCAGAATTCATAGACATGAGGGACACTGACAGGACAAACGGAGGGAAGCACTGAAAAGTTGTTAAACCACATTTTTATCAAGTCAATTCAATGTAAAGTTATGCTTCAATGACTGTGGACACCTGTGACTTTAAACATTGCTTCTGGTTACAGGTCCTTAAATGCGAGGAACATCTTCAGCTGTGGCCTGTTTGTTTAAGACAGGGCCTCCTGTGACCCAGGTTGGCCTTGAATGGAATGACCTAGAACTCCTGACTTCCCTATGCCTCTGCCCAGCTCCAGCTTAACGTGGTTGACGCACATTGTTGCGTTCATAGGGACTTAACGGTAAAAAGAACTGCGTGTTCCTGAATCGGCAGAATCAGACTGCAGGGAAAACTGCGCTATGCCAGTGCACCCCAGCCCTTTAGAGCACTTCATACCGCAACAGTAATCTAAAGTTAACTGCCATGAAGGACACAAGCCACAGACAATCAATGACACATCCAGCTTTGTAATTTTTATATTTGGTATAGTAGGGTTGAATGTGTAGATAAAAACTCCTTGACTGCTAACATTAATTACCTATTAATTAAAAGTGAATTATTATATTATACTTAAAAATATCTTGAGTTATAAAAATCATGGTATGGTCATATAAACTCAAAAGCAGAGTTCTACCAGCATTGACTTCTTTTTACTAATATTTCCAAACATCTCCGTAATTTTTGTCAAGCTGATGTGATTTTCAGTGTAAGACTCAGTCAAAGAGTATAGCTTCTTCTTCCTCCAATAACTTGGTTTCTTTTCATTATTATTAACAAAAATCACAAAGTTGTTTAAGCTCCTAACATCCATTCCCGAGGGCCACAGGTCCAGGCACATGAGACCTACATGTATTCACACATCTGTCCATCCCCTCACGCCGCCTTGAACATGTGAAGTAAGTTAAAAGTAGAATGGCGTCCTGAATTAAATACTGCCCACTTAGGTTTGTGTGTGGACAGCCGTGTGTGGGTGTGCAGACAAGTGCACTTGGAGACCAGAATTTGATATCAGGTGTCTGTGTCCTCTGCTCTCCGTCTCTTAAAAGTCATTGTTTATTTCTCTGTGAGTCTGGGTGCACAGATGCCCCAGAACATGTGTGCAGGTCAGAGGACAACATGCCTGAGTCTGCCCTCTCCTTCCACTGTGTGGATCTCAGGAACTGAGCAGGTCTCAGACTTGGTGGGGAGAGTATTTATTTGTCCAAGGAGCCTACTGGCCAGACCTTCCACTTCATAATTAGAGGCAGAGTCTCCCACTGATCCAGCAAGCACCAGGGATTCTCCAGTCTCCACCTCTTCAGTGCTGGGTAAAAGTTTTCATTGCCGGACCTGGGTTTTTATATGGGAGCTAGATAGAGATCTGAACCCAGGCGCCTTTCCTTTGCTGTAAGCACTTGACTGACACTCCCTTCTCCTCAGCCCTAGTGTAGCTTTTATTACACAGGGAAGGCTGTCCTGGTGAGTGCCATGGAGTAACTCAGAGTTCTAGGTCTTGAGAACCATTTCAGGTGAAAACCTGGCGTGTCCTATCACTCTGGGAGCTAAAAGGGAACAAACAGCAGCCATTTCATCCCTCAGCATCTGTTGCCAAGACAACAATGAAAAGTGAACTACTAGAAAGAAAACTTAAAAAAAAAGATTTAAATATCAGAGGCAATAAGTTCAGGGTGAATATAGGTACAGAATTTTTATAAATCTAGAATCTGGCTGAAACCAAATTGGTTTTAGTAAATTTCTTACAAATCTGCTTTCTTCATGTTGAATGAGGAACTGACTTTTTAGACTATGTTCATCAAATTATTTATGTAAAAGGTCATCACTGCCTATAGAAAAATTTCCTCTGTATACGTTTTACAAACTTCCTGAAAGTCATGGACCACAATATCACCTTGGGCTATCTGAAAGATGCTCGACTCACTTGCAGGCGTAGCTGTCCACTGTTTCAACATACATGCACACGCCACCATGGAGGCAGTATCCATCGTGCGACGGGGGGCATCCTGGGTAACTATTTCGTACCAAATGGTGGCCATCTTCCTCAAGGGGAGGGGTTGAGGTAGAGTCTGGAATAGTCAAAGACATTACTTTCTGAGTTTCTGTAAACAACTTGCGCTGTGGTCTCTTGATGACAGCCGAAGTCTCGGGAGTGCTGAGTCTCACCTTCCTAACCAAGCCTGTGTTACCCACCAAGAGCTAATTCCCCACCACCACCCTCTCTCAACAGATTTGTTTATTTTATGTATATGAGTACACTGTTGCTGTCTTCAGACACATCAGAAGAGGGCGTTGGATTCCATTACAGATGGTTGTGAGCCACCATGTGGTTTCTGGGAATTGAACTCAGGACCTCTGGAAGAGCAGTCAGTGCTCTTAACCACTGAGCCATCTATCCAGCCCACTTCTCTCACTTGGATTATCATACTGGAGGCAAAGAAAGAATGGACAACCCTAAATCTGACATGAACAACTGGGGTCTTTGTACAGCTCACAAGCTACCCAGCAACACACAGCTCATTGCCCTCCAAGTCTAGGGAGTCACAAACATTTATCCCACAAAATACTTTCTTCTAAAACTGATTGAACTTTCAAGTCCCCTCAGACGTGAGACTACAGCAACCGATGGGAAGAAAAGGTTACAGTAATGGAGGAAAGCCAAGATGCAAAGCCTCTTGGTTTTGTATAGTTCCCTATGCCTTAAAGGGAAGGCACTGCTGCTTGCAACTACAGTTTTCAGCCTTCCCTGAAACTCATGGCAATCCCCCTGCCTCAGCCTCCCAACTCCTGGGATTGTAGGCACCAGCCACCACACCTATCTTCAATACCTTTTGAGTAGAGAAAATTACCAGAGAAAAACAAAACAATTCACTATAAAAAAAAAAAAACCCAGGGACCAGGAGAATATGAACTTCCCTGAAGGCATTTTCTGTCTGCAGAACTGTGAGGACAAGTCCTACCTGGCTGCCAAGGCCTTTTGTGGGGTGCTGCCTCCTCTGTGTGGGTGATAGAGTCAGGACTGGTGACTGTTTTAAGAGAAACAAAAGCTGGCTGGGTTGCTAATTCATGTCAAGACATGCTGACTTTAATACATCCATTTTAAAATCCTTGAAAGAAGGCTGGGCACAGTGGCTTACACCATTAACGCTAGCACTCGAGAGGCAGAAGCAGGAGGAGTTCTGAGTTCCAGGCCAGCCAGGACTACACAGAGAACCCCATCGCAAAGAATTAACAACAACAATAACAAAAATCCTTGAGAGTGATTCGTCATGGCCCACACTACTGTCACTAGAGGCTCCCTGTTGCCACTGCCTGTGCTGGGCAATATGGTGCCATGGCCTGTAGTCTACCCTGAGGTGTGCTGCATGTGTAAAATACACACCAGAGCTTTAAAATTCAGTATCAAAATCTAAGTAGATTTTGTACAGACTTTATACAGGTTAGCTCTCTTTTTGTTTTTGTTTTGTTTTGTTTTGTTTTTTCGAGACAGGGTTTCTCTGTGTAGCCCTGGCTGTCCTGGAACTCCCTCTACAGACCAGGCTGGTCTTGAACTCAGGGATCCACCTGTCTCTACCTCCCAAGTACTGGGATTAAAGACATCTACCACCATGCCCAGTTAGTCTTAACATTTGTGCATACTGAAATAAACAAAATATACTATTACAAGTCCAGATATAGTCTTGACCTGTCTAGCCCAGCTAAGTTTTTACACAGCCTCTGAAAACAACCAACCAATGGAAAAGTAGTCACAGAGTTAAGGAGAAACACCAATATAATAATAATAATAATAATAATAATAATAATAATAATAATGTTTATTACAGATGCTGTGAAATGAACAAAACCAGGATGACCTCCAATTCTGCAGCCCAGCACCAATCTGGTGATGAAATTTAGCTCTCCAGTCAGATTAAACAATGATTTGCAGAATCCCCAAGGCAGACAAATGGAGCATAAGATTTACAGAACCAAGCTCCTCTTGGTTGATCTGGACCACCCATCCAACCACCTACCAGGGCAAGTCAGTCCAGGTGCTGATGGGCGGCCTGCGCAGGTGCAGTTGTAGCCTCCCTCTGTGTTGGTGCAGGTGGCATTCTCGCCGCAGCTGTGCGCCCCCTGCTGGCACTCATCAATATCTGTCCCAGGAGTCCATGAAAAGAGAAAGGGCGTGCAGAGAAGGGAAGGGTTATGGAACCACAGAGTCCTGCCATACAGAAGGGGTTTCTTCACCTGTGTGGTGCTTCACGTTCAGGGCCCTATGTATGTTGGGGGTCCTGTCATGAATGCTAGAAATAAAGACCACTGTGTCCATGGCTGCACACCTATTCAGGGCTCCTGGGCTCCTGACAGGATTTCTCTCCACTTGGAAGGAAAGACTTCAAGACTTCTCCAGTCCAGAGATAAGTAAAATACCTCCAATAAATAGCATTTCATATTCTAAAACATGGACTTCGCTTTTGCAACTAGATGTTTATTCATTGACATAAATGGCATATCAAGACAGGCATGGCGGTGCACACCTTTAATTCTAGTACTAGGGAGACAGAGGCAGACAGATCTCTGTGAGTTCAAGGCCAGCCTGGTCTGTAGAGTGAGTTCCAGGACAGCCAAGGCTACACAGAGAAACCCTATCTTATAAGTATGGACTATATAAATAACTAAGCCCCCCCCCACCTTAGCCCTGCTGGCAGCCTGCGTCTGTCTCAGTTGTTATTGCCCTAACAATTCAGTCTTCCCATTGTCTGCACTAAATTACCTTAAAGGAAGCTGCCTCAATATATATCAATATCTCTTATCTCCTCCAGGCCGCTCCCTAGACCACACAGCGATGAGCCCGAGACTGTACCACTTAGGGGCATGCCAGAGGCTTTTCTGTTGCCGACAGCTGTGCTGTCCAGTATGGAGAGACTTGCCCTCTGGGAGTATTAGGCTCTCTAACTGCATCTAGTCTTCGGGTCCAGATGGTGCTGTCGGTTCAAAATACACACCAGAGTTTTAAGTCTTAGTGTGCAAGTTAAAATATAAACATCCAAAATACTAATTAATAGTAAAATGTTAATATTTTAGATATAATAGGGCACATAAATGCACTATTAAATTAATATCAACTGTTTCCTTTTAATTTTCATAAAATAACAGCTAGAATGCTTAAAAGAGGAAAGTGAAAACAATAGCCCTCAGACTTCGTCTTCTGTGTCTGTAAGACAATTCGTCTACTAATAGAAGGGACTGAAATGCCTCTCCATACACGCAGACCTTGACAACCTGTCTCCCAGTGACTGATCTGAGGCTTTGTGAGGAGCTAACTAAGGTGAGACGAGAGCAGGAGGGTGTCCTGTTGGAATTGTGTCTTTAACAGATGAAGGAGCACCAGGGTTTCTGTATATCACAGAAGAGATACTGAGGAGGTAGTGAGAAAGTGACTTCCATAAGGCAGAATGGCTCATTTGCCAGACTACACCATCCATCATGTGGGGCTGTAGCCCCTAGAGCTGTGAGAAAGCAAGGTTCTGCCACCTGAGCCACCCTGTCTGTACTGTGCGGTCTCTCTGTTCACATGCAGCCTGCACTTAGCACTGCTTCCCTCCCCAGACACAAGATGTGTTCACATCTGGACGCTCCCCACCTCTTCACACTTCTGCTTAGTTAATATGAATCCATTCTCTACAGTCATACCCAAATGACACTTCCTTCAGGAAGCCTTGCCCAAAGCCTCAAGCTGACATTCCTCCCAGTTCTTGGCTTCATTATGTTTCTGCTCCTCATGCTGTATGTCTGTCTGTGACTCTTACCAAAGCTGCCTTTCTTTTAGACCACGGTCTATTGGCAAGCAAGAACTGGCCTCCTCTTCTTGATAGCCCTCACAGTTCCTAGGGCACAGCTCCTTTGAGACTAATGGAGGCTAAGGCTTTGAACAGCTGTCCTGAATGGATCAAAGTAACTTCTGTTCTTTGTTTCCTATGGTTTTTCATTCTTTCTTTTTCTGAAAGATCTGAGATCGAACCTCTGGCCTCATATATGCTACACAAACACTCGACCTCTGAACCATGCCTCCAGCCCTTGAAACAAACCAGAACGCCTGCTGTAATGTCAAGTTAGAATTCCTCTCTCACGTTTTTGGTTATGAGTCTACCGTTTTACCAGCTAAGCCATCTCTCCATGCTGGGTGGTGGTAGCCCACACCTTTTAGCCCAACATGCAGGAAGCAGAGGCAGGAGGATCTCTGTGAGTTAGAGGCCAGCTTCTTCTACAGAGCGAGTTCCAGGAAAGCCAAGGCTACACAAAGAAACCTTGTCTGGAAAAAACCAAACCCATTCAAACCAAAACAACAACAACAATATCAAAAAACAAAAAGAAAAGAAAAGAAAAGAAATAAAAACAAAGAAAAAAATCCTCTCTCAACCTGAGTGAACTCATTCGTTCTAAAGCAAAAACGAGGACGTATTGTTGAAACACCTTCTTTTTAAAGATTGTATTTATGCTTGTGTGTGTATGCACATGTACTTGCGGAGGTCAAAGAACAGCTTGCAGAAGTTGCTATGTTTCCACCTTTATGTGAATCGTAGGAACTAAACTCAGGCCAGGGCTTGGCAGCAAGCACCTTTACCCCTGAGCTATCTTACCAGCCCAGTAAGACTCTTCTATAGAATGTGTGTGCCATGGCTTGAAGCCAATCACCTACTATGCTGGCTTATTTTGTGTCAGCTTGACACAGGCTAGAGTCATCTGAAGGGAGACAAGCCCAATTTAAAAAAATGTCTCCATAAGACTGGGCTGTAGGCAAACCTGTAGAGCATTCTCTTACTTAGATTGAGGTGGAAGACGCAGCCCATGGTGGGTGGGGCCAACCCTGAGCTGATGATCGTGAATTCTACAAGTCAGGCTGAGCAAACCATGAAGAGGAGACCAGTAAGCAGCACCCCTCCACAACCTCTGCATCAGCAACTGCCTCCAGGTTCCTGCCCTGTTTGAGTTCTTGTCTTGGCTTCCCTGGTAAAGGACTTACCTGGAAGTGTAAACTGAAATAAAGCCCTTCCTCCCCAAGCCGCTTTGGTCAGGGTGTTTTATCATAGTAATAGTAACCCTAATTCAGACACCTATTCTCAAACACACACACACACACACACACACACACACACACACACACACACACAGGCGCGCGCACATGCATGCATGCACACAGTTACATAGAGAAACATACTGAGGTCCAATGGTAGAATACACAAGCATACCCGTGGCTTCTGTGACCTCATGCAAGCAGGCAGGGCAGGGCCATGACCCCCTTTGGCATATTTAATATTAAGGGGTAGGTTAGGAAGAGTGGGAGTCTAAAGAGCTTAAGTCTCTGAGAAAATATACCTTCTTCTCTTCAAAAGAAATGAAACATGAAGTCTGTTTGCCCAAAATATCTGTGAGCCTGCTTAATTAGTGCAGTGACATTTTCCTGACTGACTGCCAAATCTGTGCTTAAAAGTGTGTTTTCGCAGGTCTGTGGACTGCACAGAACTAATCTGATAAAGTCTGGCTTAAGCCAACCAGATCCACAAGTGGGTAGCCATGACCTTCACATGTGAGAGAAAACGCCAGCATTGAGTTTACCAGGGCATCTGCCCTTCACTGTTTGCTTTCAGAAGAAGGAAAGAAACAGCATAGAAGAGGAGCTGGGCATCTCTGGGAAAGCAGCTAAGCACTGCACTAGGAGAGGGTACATAGGGCAGGCCTCTACTTGTGCAGTGCTACTGGGCTCCTGACACCTGGGGCAGCACAAGCCATCCACAGAGTGAACTCCCAGCCTACAGCCCCACCCAGCCCTTGGCGGAGGAGGATGGTTATGAAAAGGCTTTCAATCATTCTGAGCTTGCAATGAAATGTCAGTGAAGTTCTCATTCACTGAACCGTCAGAAACACCCTCCACCTGCCTGGGAGCCTCCTGTCCCTGTCTTCTTGCACACAGAGATTACAACACACCCACTCCAGGCAGTCCACGGCTAAGCTCAGTAACAGAGAGGTGCAGACCAACCGCCCACCGATGGCATACAACACTGAACACTGATGGAGCCTCTATCCTCCAAGCCCCAGGGAATGAACTAGAAAGGCAAAGAGGTAGACTTACCTCAGCTTGTGCAGTTATGGCCGGGAGATTGTTTTCTAAGACCTAAACTACATCAGTCCGTGCAGGTCACACAATTGGTCTTGATACGGGTTTCACTCCAATTCTATCCTGCCTTCCCTCAGCCCGCAGCAACTACAACTTTTGACAACTTTCTTTAGCGTGCCTCCTCCCCCTCCCTTGTCCACTGGCCCCTGCGTTCTCTCACCGAGACAGTAGATCCCGTCGCCTTCATAGCCTTCCGAGCATCTGCAGACGTAGCCACCTTCAGTGTTGATGCACCTAGATGAGGTGGTGGGACAGTCGGAGCTACCCAGCTCACACTCATCTATATCTGCGTGGGTGGGGGGAGATTATGGGCACGTGAAACGTTTTCCAACCTGTGGGTCTCAACCCACACAGGGGTCCCATATCACATATCCTGCATATCAGATACATTACAATTCACGACAGTAGCAAGATTGCAGTTATAAAGTAGCAATGAGGTAATTTTAGAGTTGGGGGTGGGGAGGATCCCCACAACAAGAACAACTGTATTAAAGGGTTGCAGCATTAGGAAGGTTGAGAACAACTGGTTTAGGCAATCCTGGAAAGAAATAACAGGCATAGGAAGAAAGATTGAGCCTTTGTATAGTCAGTCAGGGGCTAACATGTACTGTTCGTGAATAAAATGCAAACCCTGAAGTTCATTTCTCAATGAATTTTCATGAAGTTCCCACCTGTCCAAAAAGCTAAGTGTGTGTGAATAAATTGCTTTCTTCCAGAGTTTCAGACGACAAGGACTGGCATTTTCCCAGTAATCATTAACTTACAATCAATATAAAATAGCTATCAATGTAAAATCGAAACCTATCCATCATAATCTGTTTCACTAAAACATATATACAAGGTTTCTAGGAGGGAAATGTTCTATTTTTAGGAAACCATAAGTTTGACTTGAGCTCAAATTCTTGTTTCTCTTCGTGTCAACTTCATTTTTTGCTTAATTTTTTAATACAATGTTAGTATACTATGAGGTAATATTATACGGAAATATGCTTATGTGTCTCATTTCCTATGCATACAATTCCTTCTCCCCCCCTCCTAACATCAAGTAATTTATTTAAACCTACTAATTACTTACATCCTTGTGGAGATTTTTAGTTAGTAAAAGTCAAAGGAATGCTTTTGGTTCACGAGTTCTCATATGTGTGCATTTGGCCTTTGCTCTTACCAGAACACAGGTTTCCATCTCTGGCAAATCCTTCCAAACACTGACACGCGGCAGTGTCTCCCTCTGAAACACAGTGAGCGTGGCTGCCACACACCCCAGGGCCACAGTCATCCTCATCTGCAAACAGTGAGAGCACATGCAATTATTTCCAGTCTTCAGAGGATGAAGTGGACCTCGGGGAGCTGGACAGAATGTCCCAGCACCTCCTTCCTGAAGTTTGTGTGTGGGCTAGCTTCCAAACAAGAAAGAACTGGTTAGGTCTGTCTGCTGTGTCTCTTTCATTAGATTCACAAGACAGCTCACTGCTTCCACGTGCCTACGGTCGCATGGTTTTGTGTGCTTGCTAGTTTTGATTTGCTTTGGTTTGTGGTCGTGGTCTTGTTGCTGCTCTTGCTTTTTGACAAAGTGAGTAGCCAAGGCTGGCCCTTATGTGAGAACCTCCTGACTCTTTTTCTCACATGCTGAGGTAAACCTCAACCTTAAAGAACCATTTGCTGTCCAGAGAGCTCGGTATTGACTTGTTTGTCATCTGTACATTTGAACTTCTAATAGAGCTTAAAATGGACTCCAATTTCATTTTATGTAATATCAATCTATAACTCTAGGTAGCCTTTATAAAAGACACACACGATCCAGGTATTTTATTTACAGGCTGTAAGCCTAGATTGGGCAGGTCTGGAGCTGTTCTAACTTACATCCCAGCCATCTGTGTCCCTTGTTACTTGCTGGTTTTCCTGGCCACATGCTCACAGTCCATCTCCTCTCATGGTGGCTTCCTCCATCCCTGTCCTGTCTTCTTTCTCTCTCTCTCCCTGTAACCCTCTCACTTGATCCTCAAGTCCCACCTTTCTCCCTCCACTGCCCAATCACAGGCAATCTAGCCTTGTATTGACCAGTTAAATTAGGGAACAAGGTTTACATAGCATCACTGGGTATCTGCTCATGGGGGACAAGCAGATCTTGAGAGCCAGTATTTAGTCTTAGAATACAAGCAACCCAGTACAATTTTACTCAAAAATCCCCAACCATTGTGACATATAAAAAGCCCATGTATTCTTCTCCCGAAACACACAGACTTGAATGTAGCAAGCAGATCTGTTTCTGACAAAGAGATTGGCTCACAGAAAGATTTATTGCCAATTTACTAATATCATGTTTCATATCTAATAGGATATATGTCACAGGGTGTGCTTATTATCAAGATTTATGCACTGACTTGTAAGCCTCCTGGCACTTCTGCAAAGTCACAAACCTTACAAGTCAAATGCTGTAAAAGATTGTTTCATTTCATACTCCATTGAAATGCAAATGCCCCGGGGGACAGAGTTGATGTCAAACCACAGACATGAGCAAGTTTTTCTTTGTTTCTTGCTTTTCTGCTTTAACTACTTGTGCATATAGTCACTCCCCGAATGCCACCCACCACCTCCTTTTTTGAGTTGGAATATCTGGCATACCGCAGCCGTCTATGCACCACCGTCTGTCTAGTTTGTTCACAGATATAGGAAAGATGAAAAGCCTTCAGAGTACCTTTGTGTAGAGGTTATATGTTCTAAGGTGGATCCGGGCTCCTGGTGACTGCAGACATTGGGGCAATTGTAGTTTTGGGATTTTTGTTTTGTTTTGCTTTGTTTTGCTTTCCTTTTGCTTTTTTTTTTTTTTTTGGTTTTTCAAGACATGGTTCTCTGTGTAGTCCTGGCTGTCCCGGAACTCACTCTGTAGAACAGACTAGCCTCGAACTCAGAAATCCGCCTGCCTCTGCCTCCCAAGTGCTGGGATTAAAGGCATGCGCTACCACTGCCTGGCTGCTTTTGCTTTTCAAGGCAGGATTTCATTCTGTAGATCACGCTGGCCTTGAACTCATAGAAAACTACCTGCCTCTGCCTCCCTGAGTGCTGGGATTAAAAGCATGTGCCACCACTATCCAGTGGCAATTGTGTTTTTGTGTTTCATATGTTTAGGACTTATCCAAGATTTCTCTTGGTTGAACACAATATCCTTCACGATTGCTTGGCTACCTCTGTTACTAACAATCAGGATGGGGAGGGGCACATTCAAATATTTAGTTCTCAAATCACAAGGCTGCTGAGAGCAGGGGTGAGCAGTATCCAAGCAAACATTTGAAACCACTGTACAAATATCATAAATTAGAATATGATGCAGGACTTTTGCAAATCTTTGCATGATGGAAAGCAACAAATACGCAGTAGGGGGTGCAGGCTGGCTAGGCCACACTGGCAACGGTCACCCGCTTCTCTCTATTATGAGGAGGGATTTCTAATAAGACTGCTGCTTTGCATGGCTGAAGAAAACATGACTATTTAAAAAACCCTCTGCAAATTAAAATTTGCTATACATAGCTAAATAAAGATGACAAAGAAGGGCATAGTCGGGGCTATAGACTTGGCTCAGTGGCTAAGAGCACTTGCTTGCTGTTCTTCCAAAGGTCCACTGTTCGATTCCCAGACCCCACACAACTGCACACAGACATCTGTAACTCCGGTCTCAGGGGATCTGACAGGATCAGACACCCACGTCGTGCACAAACATACATGAGGACAAAACATTCACACACATAAAATAATTAAAACGTTTTGATAATTAAAAAGAAAGGCAGAGTGATATCTTAATAATTAGGATTGAGGGTGTAGCTCAGTGGTTCTAGCATGGGCAAGCCTTGGGTTTGAGCACCAGCACTTAACAGTCAAAGCCCCAAATACCAGAAGCAACTCTGGAACTAAACTGTAAAAATAAGATTCACTCAGAAGTACCTAATGTGCGCCCAGGTCCTGTGAGTGATAAAAGTGCAGCAATGCAGGATGCAGACAAAGGCTCTGCTGTCTTACATAGTCTTTGGGGGCTAAGTGAATAAAAAGCCAAACACAGACAATGACATAAGTCCTCACTCCCTCACGCCTCGACCCCCAACCCCATCAGTGTACTCTCTGCCATGTATCTTCGTCTGCCAGTCCCTCTTCACTATGAGAGAATCTGCCCTATGAGCCTGCATGGGTTCCTGCTCAGTCTCAAAGTGGTCCCTAGCCCACGAATCCTGACACTCTATTTGATTAGACTTCTGGTTCTCACATTAAGCCATGACTATGCATGTTGCAGCTGTATTTAGCATTGCCCCGGTATCCCCAGCACTTAGTACAGTGTATGACTAAAAAAATAGCCAAATAAATATATTTTTATTTGTGGCAAATTGTTCTGGAACTTCTTAAACGGGAATTGGTTGTTTGGTCATACTTCTTTGCTCATATGTGTGTCATGTATAGGTGTTCATGCGTGTGTGCATGTGTAGGCGTTCATGTGTGTGTTCATGTGTGTGTGCATGTGTAGGCGTTCATGTGTGTGTTCATGTGTAGGTGTTCATGTGTGTGTGTGCATGTGTAGGTTTTCATTTGTGTGTGCATGTGTAGGCGTTCATGTGTGTGTGCAGGTGTAGGTGTTCATGTGTGTGTGCATGTGTAGGTGTTCATTTGTCTGTGCATGTGTAGGTGTTCATTTGTGTGTTCATTTGTGTGTGCATGTGTAGGTGTTCATGTGTGTGTGCATGTGTAGGCGTTCATGTGTGTGTGCATGTGTAGGTGTTCATTTGTCTGTGCATGTGTAGGTGTTCATTTGTGTGTTCATTTGTGTGTGCATGTGCAGGTGTTCATGTATGTGTGCACATGTGTAAGTGCTCATGTGTGTGTGCACGTGTAGGTGTGTGGAGGACAGAAGCCAACACTGAGCTTCTTCCTCAATCACTTTCTACCTGATTCTTGTGAGTGAATGTCTCTCACTGTACGCGAGCTTGCTAACTGACGCTGGCTGGCTGGAAGTCCTGGGTATCTTCCGGTATCCACATCCTGCCACGTGGCAAACTGCCTTGCCTGTTTTTTTTTTTTAATGTGGGCTCTGAGGATACTAGCTCAGGTCCTCCTGTTTGTTTAGACGCATCTTACCAATTTAACCATCTCTCCAGTCCTATATGATCATAATTTTCAAAATCTTTAGTCAAGTCACTAATCAATACACCTCAGTCTCAGTTTTTACATCTATAAAATAATGGGATATAACAGGAATCAAAAAATACAATTTAAGCATGGCAAATGTTAAAAGTTCATACAAATCTTAATTATCACCATTACTAAAAATATGTAAAAAAAAAAAAAAAAAACTTTACATCATCAAAAACACACAGGTGGGGCACGAGGTCCTTGAGCCCTGAAAGTCTGCTCTTCAGACCAAAGAAGTCAGAGGAAGATGTCTGTAATTGTCCTCTCATGGAGGTTTCAAAGAGCTTAAAGTCACAGACATTATGTTACTCAGGGGCCTGAGGAGATGGTTCAGGGGATAAAGTTGGGACTCCCAGCTTTCAGGTAAATGGCAGGGTGTGGCAGCCTCCCTACAATCACAGTACTTGGGATTCTCTGGAGCAATCTGTAAGGTGGATGTATATGTATATGTATATGTATATGTATATGTATATGTATATGTATATGTATATGTATATGTATATGTATCGTATGTATCATATATATAATTCATATATGATTAAATGTTTCAGAGTCAACGTGAGCCACACTGAGAGGATGGCAGTGAGCTGTGAGGACAGGGTGGGTTTGTAGCCGCTCTAGGGCTCATCAAAACTACCTGCCATACACAGAACATGACAGATTCTATTATGAAAGTCCTCTGCTGATAAATGTGTAACATAGACAAAGAATTCTAACATTTCTGTTTATGGACTTTCTGCAGTAATCAAAGTAACCAATTAATATGCCTCATCAATGACTACCAACTTTGCACAACGGCTAGACAGGGTAAATACCCACCAGAGCAGTTACGGGTAGGGAGACACTTAAGTCTCTTCTAGGCTGATTGTCACCCCTGTTTCCAATTATACCTCAAATGGTTCAGCCTAGAGTCTCTCTGCATGTACAGTTCATGTCTAACTCAACAGAGCTTTGCAGTACAAGCTTTTCCAAAGAGGAGGACCCAAGTTCGAGGTTGGGCTGCAGTACAGTTAGCTAATATTATACCAGGGGAAGAGAGTGCAGAACTTCCTACTGGCGGAGGGGAAGCTGTTAGGACCAAAGCTATTGAGAACTCACAGTTCATCCCTGACACCATGATTTCAGCCACGAGTTGGGAGGATTCTGTCCCATCACCGTCTGGTACTTCAATCTTAGTGGAGTTATCCAACGAGGTCACCTCTTTACTTAGATCAGCACTGTCACCTGTGGGACAGAAGACTCGACTAGTTAAGCCTTTCCATTTCAAGGACAGTTTGATTTAATTTATATTGATGGTTACTCATTGGTTCTGAGTTCAGACTCATTTTAGTGTGAAGAAATGAGCAGGGTTTGGTGGAGCCGACAGGGACTCTTTTAGATAAAGAACACTCCTTCTGAATATAATCAGCACAGAATCACAGACCAAGACAAAAAGAAGCTGTGGCAGCCACCTCTCCCCAACCTGTCTTATGCTAGCCCCTCCCTTTGTTTGGCTTCTGTATTTATAATACCCTGAGTTAACTGTATTTTTGAAGCCGCTGTGTATGAAAAGCCACATAGACACACAAAGCTCACTGCTCCTGGAGAGGAGATGAACTCCCAAAGGCAGCACTTTGCTCAGCTGTGCTACACAGACCCCTGGGTCCCACTGTAAAGAATCTACAGCACCAAGGCTACTGCATTGCAGTCAAAAGCTACTGTCTGTTCACATGTTCATGTCAATATTGACGCAGCAAGGCAGTGTAGGAAAGACTGTGGTGCCACGGTACACACGGTGTGCACGGCACAGCACGGCACAGCACGGCACAGCAAGCACTGCACAAGACAGCTCAGGGAGTGACATCAACTACACCAGGATTGGAGCCCTCCAGTACCCACTTCAGAGGGACCTCAAGGGAATGCAGCAAGCATTGCTAATCTTTAGCCCTCCTGGCTGTTCAGTCGGACTTTACTGCTGCATATAATAAAATGAGTGATGCTTCCGGTTCCTACTGGAGTTGTAGGAGTTGCCTAGAGAGAAACACGCAAGTAATATTTGAGTTGTGAGCCGAAATCCCCCTTTCTCCGAGGGTCAGCATAATTAATCGGAAAGAATGATGGATAGGCCAACTATGCTATTTAGACTTGGGTATCTGCAAGGCTTTCCTCAGAAACGGAAGAAGTGATCCTGCCACTTTCAAGAGAAATAGCGGGCAGCGTTTGCTGCACATGTCAGATCCCTTATCTCAAGTAAGCCCTAAGAAACTAGGACCTGTACAGTGCTGACAGCCCTCTACCCCACCCCACCCTCCCCTCCCCCACAGCTTCCTCTGTGCCTCCAACCAAAACAACACAGCAGTGGACGTGAGACTCGGGCTGCTGTCTGTTCTGCTAGACTTAAAGACAGAAATGTAAAGCAATGCCTCTCTTCTCACTATATATTTTTTCGCTTTGAAAAAAATATGTGTATTTAGTGATTATATGATGGGTTATGCTCATAAATATTAGGTTTGTTATTTGAATTAAGATGAAAAACTTTCAATATCCTAAGAACTGATGACTATAATCCACCTATATAAAAACCCTTCAGGGATCTTAATAAGTCTTTTAAGAGCAAAACAGAGTTCTGAGTCTAAGACACACGAAACTATTATCTTAAGGCAAAAAATAAGAATAATAGGAAAAAAAGTCATGTCTGAAAACCCAATACACAACTCTATTCCACGGACAGGGCCATCCATCCACTGCTAACCTGCCACTTAGCTTATATTTATGACATGCCTACCAAGTAATTATGCGCTTTTTAAAGAGGCTTAACAAATATAAATTATCTTTGGCACATTTTTGGTAGGAAGACACCAAAAAACAGCTCCAGATTCACCTCGTCTGGGCATGCACTGCTGGCAAAAAGGTCATCCATCATGCAAGGCTCATTCTCCCGCCCTCTTCCTCCACTGTAGCTGTAAAGAGACGGATCATGACCTTTTCAGTACCTACTTCCTACGCTTGTTTGATACAGTGAAGCTATTTCTATGAAGGACTCAAGTTTTCCTATTAAGACCTATAGCGTGAGGAGGAGGTTGTCTTTCATGACCCCTGAAATTAAGAACATAACATTTTTAAATAAAATGTCTTTAAGCATTGTCACAAGGTGGCATTTATTTCTAAGCCCTGGTACACCCCACTACGAATAGGAGAGAACGTGCAGCTTAAAGCTTTTACAATTAGAGGTCAATTTAACTGTGACTGTGATAAGGAACTAAAAAACTCAGAGGGGGAGGGGTACAGAAACCCAAGCACACTCAGCATTCTTGAAGACACAGAAGCACTTAATAATACGAAGCACCACAATCTGCAAAAGCAGAACACGGATGCCCCAATGTACAGAGCCCGGGTGAGACAACCCGGCTGCACAGCATGCCATGTTACCTGCCAGTATCTGATCATTCTTCCGAGCAAGACACACTTTCCCATCCTGCGCTTTCACAAAACCTTCCCGACACGAACACTGAGCCATGCCCAGGCTCTCTCGGCAGACGTGTTCGCAGCCTCCATTCTTGTGTAAGCAGGGATCTGCACCTAGTCGGGAACAGAGAGAATGTGCGGATGCGTCTGGAGATGTCAAGGATGTTGCTGATGCAAGTCAAAGACATCTCTGGGTGAGAATTCAGCCATTCCACTCGGAAGGTGTGTCTAAAACTCTCCCTCGGGAGCTCCTTCAAGAGGCCCTGACTCAGCCAGCTCAGAATGTTGTTACCTTATGCATATCTGCTGAGCACAGCTGGTAGCTTGGTTTGTGAGGCTCCTTAGTCTACGCTATTCCTATGTCCTGACCAGGATCTAGTTATACTCGGAGATCTTCAGGATGAGGAGATGCTGGAGGGAGCTGAGTGACTCTGTCTTGGATTGCTCCTGGCTGCTGCTCACTACCTGGCCTATGGGGGTAAGGGGAGCCCAAGGGTGGACAGAAGTTCCACTGCAGAAATCTAAATTGCCTGAATCACTAACTTTGTTTTGTTTTTTGTTTTTGTTTTTGAGACAGGGTTTCTCTGTGTAGCCCTGGCTGTCCTGGAACTCACTTTGTAGACCAGGCTGGCCTCAAACTCAGAAATCTGCCTGCCTCTGCCTCCCAAGTGCTGGGATTAAAGGTGTGTGCCACCACTGCCTGGAATCAGTAACTTTTAACTTATCAAATATTTCTATTTGGTGTTAAGAATTCCAGGTGGGACTTTTTCTATTGTGTTGTTTATACTTGGAGATAATCTCTATATGTATGTATGTATGTATGTATCTATCTATCTATCTATCTATCTATTTCTATAATGTATGTATGTATCTATCAATCAGTCATTTATCTAGCAATCTACCTATCTATCATCTATCTACCTATCATCCATCCATCTATCTATCATCTATCTATCAATCAATCATCCAGCTATCTATCATCTATCAATCAATCATCCAGCTATCTATCATCTATCAATCAATCATCCAGCTATCTATCATCTATCATCTATCAATCAATAATCTATCTATCTATCTATCTATCTATCTATCTATCTATCTATCATCTAGTCACTATGAACATAGTCTAACTTGCTTATCCTGACTCTCTGTAACCCGAGTCTTTTGAAATGTAGCAAGCGCTATGGAGCAGGGGAGGAGTGTGGCTAGAGAGGTAAAACCCAGATTATTAAAACCACCGTATTAGGGATAAAGCACAAATTACCAAACTACCAAGCTTGTCTGGGTTGTGATTAAATCAATGCCCAAATCTTGAAAAATCTTAACATTTATGCAGATAGGTGAAAAAAAAAATCAGAAAATCCCCTCCACCCCCACCACCTGCTACCATTGGTTAACACAGCCGCAGTCTCCAGTGCAGGAGGGCCTGCAGGACTTCTCCAGTGTACCTGGTTTTGCCAATGGATGGACCACAACCACTGATGAGGGCTTCAGCATGCTGCCTCGGAGACGTACCCTGTTTTGACCAGTCCTCTTGTTCACCCTTATTACCGATGGGATAGCCCAATCCGAGAACCACACGTGATCTTCAAACACGGCTAGCGCAAAGGGGTGACCTGGAAGGAGGTAAAAGGTCAAGTAAAAGATCCTTCGATATGGACAGGTTCTCTTCCCAAGGGGCGTCTGTCTGTAAGAGGACAAGGCTTAGAACCACTATGCTCCATTACCGGTGCTGCTGACCTAGATGGGTCTGAACAGGGTGCCAAGGCGGGCATGCTCTGTGCTCACGTGCCACAGACTAACCTTGAGTGGTTCTTGCTGCTCTGGGTCTCTTGTCATTTAAATGGCTGTCCTAAGCAGTTGAATGAACTCACAGGTAACCAGGAGGATTTTCTTTTTTTCTAATTTAGGTGACCAAACAGTGTTTTTCAAAAATATCATCTCTATCACTGTATTCCCGAGTCAGCCTTTTCTGTCTGCTCTCTCTTCTTATACTTTAGTCCAGGATTGTCCTTCTGTTACTTCTCCCGACCTCATCTCTTCACATTCACTCTCCTCACCAAGCTCAGCTACGAGCCTCTTACCTTCCTTACTAAGGGCCTCCTCCCCTTATCCCCTTAGACTCTCTGACTCTTCTCTGCCATGCAGAAGGGAGTTTTTTGAACACATTTTATCTGCTGCATCTGATTATACAGCTCCTATCCCGTGAGCTGCCTTCTGAGCCCTCCTCAACCAAGCCACCCCTGCAGGCCTCTGGAACTGCTGTGAGCTGATCCAAGGACCACTTCTCAGGGGAATGCCACATGGCGTTTCAAGCTGCTAGACACCAGGGTGGAGCCGGCCTACGTCTGGAAGCTCTCCACACTCGCTGATGAACTTGGAGCTGTGAGGTGAATGTCTCCCCCGTGTGGTGGGAACTGCAAATGACTTGTCCTGGCCACAGCAAGCCTCCTCCCCTGCATCACTGTTGACCCGGGTGACTTTTAGCTTTCAGCTCAGTCTCTTAGCCCTGTGTCCCAAAGTAAAACTATAACTACATCATGGAAATTTGTTTTACTTGACTACTTTTCTTTTCTTTTTATCGTGGTCAGAAAACATACAACACAAAACTTACTACCTTAGCCATGATGTACAGTTCTAAGTACACTCACACTGCTGCACAGTCAGTCTCTAGAATTTTTGTACTTTTGAAAGTCTGAAATTCTATGCCAACTTTCCCTCAGCCTCTAGAAATACTATTCCACCCCGCACATGAGACTGCCACGCTGCATTAGCAGGAGCGAGTGGGCGTGTCCAGCATTTGCCCTTTTACTCAGCATAATGTCCATTTACTTAGCATAATGTCCTCAAGGTTTGTTCATTTGAAGCATGTGCTAGAATTAGCTACGATGTTCAACGAACACATTAGACACAATCTTCCTTATCTTAACGCAATGAACCACAATTAACTGTACTTTTTAAAGATAAATTCATCCAATCTTTTCATTAAAAGTCCTGAACGGGCCGGGCAGTAGTGGTACATGCCTTTAATCCCAGCACTTAGGAGGCAGAGGTAGGCAGATTTCTGAGTTTGAGGCCAGCCTGGTCTACACAGTGAGTTCCAGGACAGCCAGGGCTACACAGAGAAACCCTGTCTCAAAAAGCCAAAAAAAAAAAAAAAAGTCCTGAATGGTCAGCACTCAGAAGGTGGCTCAGTGGTTAAGAGCACTAACTGCTCTCCCAGAGGACTTGGGTTAGAGTCCCAATACCAGCATAGTGTCTCACAACTGTCTATCATTCTAGTTCCAGGGGATACAATGCCCTCTTCTGGCTTTCCATGGCCCCAGGCATACATGCAGCCGACAAAACAATCATACACATAAAAGAGGAAAAAAAATAAAATCCTGAGCTGTCAATTGAGAACACACCACATGTTTTGCAGTAGTCAGTGCTCTAAAGTAGACATGTGGGGACAGTTAAACACAACACTATGTAATGTTGCTCTTCAGGATTCTGGTTATAGTAGCACCTGCAATTTAAAAATCTCCGCTAAAGGGTTCTGGGTCTACCTCAGCTGGTGAAGGGGCTTGTCTATCATACACAAAGCTCCATTTAATCTCCAGTGCCAAAATTGGGTGTAGGGAATAAGTCTATCATCTCAGCATTCTGGAGGTGAAGGCAGAAGGATCAGAAGTTCAAGGTAATCCTTCACTATACTGAAAGTCCAAATTCAGCCTGGAATGCATGAGACCCTGTCCCAAAATAAATAGAATATTATATACTGTGTTTTGGGATCCAGAATGTGATGGTTTCTTCTGCTTAGGAATGTTCCTATAGCTACCTACCTCAGAAACCAATGAATGTCTGCCAAGTGTGTGGATAGATATGGTCCAACTATGTATGCAAGCTTATCACTGTTTATAAAGAATCTTAGAAATATATACAATTTAAGTATCTTTCTTGATCTATTTCATGTTATATTATCTAAAAAGTTATTGTCTCTAAACGAAAGAGAATTAGCAAGATAACTATTTTATTAGTTCCTTGCTAAACGAGACTGATTTTTGGTCTTCCCAGCCAGTGTCTAAATCCCTAAGGCCCTCCCTCTCAACACTCCAGGCTCTCATTCTTCCTCACACCAACTTGCTATCAGACCCTCTCTAGTTTTTATTCATAGTAAGTTGTAATACCCTAATCTTCTATTTCTCCATTTAATAACAACGTAGTTTGGGTCTTTAAGAACTGATGTGTGGACTAGCACTGAGCGTGCCCTCAATCTCCTTCTCTCTAGACTTCACTCTGACCACTGCGCTGTCATCTAAACAGTTACCCTGAAACGGGCAATCTTGTCACATATGTCTCTTGCTCAAGAACATTTACTGTTCCCTTAGTAAATTCAAAATTAGGTTCAGTCACTTCACCCTGACAGTTCTTCTTACCACATGGCAGAAGAATTCTACAGGGTCAAAAGGGTCCTTGTAGACTCCCTGCATCCAAGGCAATTTCCCACTGCCTTTGTACTGCTCCTTTACAGAGTACAGCGTGTGTGTGTGTATGTGTGTGTTCTACATATATCTGTGTGTGAGTATATGTGAGCACCTGCAGAGGACAGAGGAGAGCGTCAAAACTCTTGGAGCTGACGTTATGGTGGTTGTGAGCTGCCCAACATGGCTGCTGGGAGCCAAACTCAGGTCCTCCGGAAGACTAGTAAGTGTTCTTAACCACTAAACCATCTCTCCAGCCCCTGGCTCAGTGTTTTAAAGGTTTTTATGAAAAATCATGATCTCCCTTGAAGAATCTGAAAAGGCAACAGGGGAGAAAGCTTCCTTGATTAATCTTTGCCCATGTTATAAACTGACATTCCTTAATGCCTGAAAGTGATTAGTCATTGTTATAGAATGACAGACTAAAAAAAAACCCACCACCACCACCACCACCAATAACAACAACAAGATCAACAACAACAACAAAAGACAGAAGAAATAAGGTCTTTATTCCTCAATAAGTTTGGAAAAAATTAAGATTTTTCACTTCTATTTGGGGAAATCTTGAGGAAAAGTGATTATACAATACTACATTTTACTCACTATTCCAGTGCTTGGGCATGGGCATGGGCAATCTTTCTGTTTTATAATTCTTGGAGAACTCTGTCTTTCTAGTCTGCTTAAATGTGGACATGTGTAAGCACATTCTGGAATTAACATTCCTCAGCACTCAATCAAGGAAGTCAGAGGCTACAGAGATGGCCCAGCAGTCATGAGAAAGTACTGCTCTTGAGGAGAATCCATGTTTGGTTTCCTGCACCCACATCCACCGGCTCACAATCATCTGAAACTCCAGCTCCAGAGGACCTGACACATCTTCTGGCCTTTCACAGATATATATTCCCAAACACATATACATGTGCACATGATTTAAAAAACAATAGTACAACAAAACTAAAGATGAAATAAGTCATGTAGCCCAAAGCCTCACCTACATCGATCTGGGTAAGTCTTCGGCGCTTGGAACCATCCAGATTGGCCATTTCAATCACAGACAGCTTGGTGTCACACCAGTACAGAGTGTCTGTTAAGTAGTCAATTGTGATCCCACTGGGTTCCAGTAGATTAGAGCTGGCTATCAGCATCCGGCCAGAACCTTGAAGGGAAGAGCTTTCAATCCGTGGAGACATCCCTGTGTCCGTCCAGAATAGTCTCCTTCGGTCAAGAAAACTCACAAGTTAAATTTGCATGAAAAAATTCTTATATTCTTTCAAGACTTAGAAACCCAATATAGATCACTTTAGAGAGTGGTACACCAAGAAACATGCAAGGAGAAAATGCAGCAACACATGTTAAACAATTAAAAACAAAAACAAAGAAACCCCTCAATTATCTGGTCTGAATAAAGCATCTAGAAAAAAAAGAGAAAAAAAAATGGTGTCAGACCATTAGATGGAAAAGGAATTGATGTTCTGAAATTGTAGAATATTACTTTAATCGAACTTGTACTTAAATGAGCAGTAGTAAGTTAGCAGCAAAATGCAGACAATTTGGTAGCTCATTCTTTTTTTTTTTTGGTTTTTCGAGACAGGGTTTCTCTGTGTAGCCCTGGCTGTCCTGGAACTCACTCTGTAGACCAGGCTAGCCTCGAACTCTCGAACTCAGAAATTCGCCTGCCTCTGCCTCCCAAGTGCTGGGATTAAAGGCGTGCGCCACCACCGCCCGGCTAGGTAGCTCATTCTTATATTATGCACATATTAAGGCACAGCATAAAAGGAATAGTGTATTTACCTTGTTTCCTGGAGTTACGCAAGGTACTTTGCCTACTAAGATAATTTTAACTTCATATTTTTAAAAATATCAATCTGGTTTAATATCTAGTTGGTTTGAGTAGAGATGGGTTTGCCTTGTTTTAGTTATTTGATCAACTCCAGATTAATTACCAGTTACTACATATCATCCAGAGACCACTGTAACATTTCCAGCAAAAATAGAACCTTCAAGGTTCTGGCTGGATGCTGAGAGCCAGCACTAACCCATTGGGACCCAGTGGAATCACAATTAACTACTTTTTTTCTAAATGTATAATACTCTATTTATTTATTTATTTATTTATTTATCTATTTATTTATGTTCACATGTTTATTCCATGCTTATTCTTTTTTTTTAAATTTTTTATTGGATATTTTATTTAACACAATTGACCACTTAACAGACACATTGTATTGGTGTGACATTAAGCAGTCTGTGATTGAAATGGCCAATAAAATAAAAAGTATTTGTTTTTCTCTTGGCTTTTTAACAACTCTGAAGAAACTCTTTATTCTCCTTAATTCTCTACTCTCAAACCAGAATGTGACGTGAAGTCATAGTTAGTAGCTTAGAATCTATTAATCTTTCATAATCTATATTTCTATTTCTCTGATTCCAGAAACGACCTATCGTTCGAAGTCATCCTGAGATTCTTCTTACTAGTGTTGATAAGCCAACACTCCTAATTTCATTTTCCACTTAAGAAACAACAACATAGATTTTTAAATCTTTTTTTGTAAATCAAGGATTTAAAAATTTTTATGTAGAGTGCTTTGCTTGCCTGTATATCTATGCATATTTCATGCCTAGTACCTGTGGAGGCAAGAGAGGTTATTGGATTCTGGAACTGGAGTTACCGATGGTTGTGAGCTGTTGTACGGGTGCTGGAAACAAACCAAACCTGGTTCCCCTGGAAGAGTAGTCAGTGCTTTTAAACACTGAGCCATCTTTCCAGTCCTGACAACATAAGATTTTTCAGAAAAGTAGATTCATGAGATTAAGTATAGTTGGTTAATGAGAACCAAGAGATAAGGGAGGGATATAAGTTGTCAGACATACTGGTTCTGAAGATCTGAACAAAACTCACAGATTTGCTTGGCTTTTGACTGCACTGACCACCTGAAGTCTTAGTACGAATTCTGGTCATGAGCAGTGCAGACATGAACAACGGCATAAGCTCAGATAAACGGTACCGTGTTTTCATAAGTATCTACCTGGCCTTTGGATGCACAGCTATTCCTCGTGGTCTTGAGATGCTCTCTTTGATGATTATTTGATGATGCTTTCCACTCAAATCACTCCCTCCAATGACGGACTTCCTAAAAGGTAAATATAAGTAGGGAGGTATTAGCTCATCATTTTAAATAAAGTTTTTCCTTTTCTCATAGATAAAGGGACAGGATAAAGGGGTACTGTCAGCAGCTTGGCAGAGACAAAGCCAAGAAGCAAATGTTTAGTCTCTTTCTCTTCACAACCTTCCATTTCCTGCTGGAACTCATGGAAGCCAGAGACTAAGAGGCCAGAACAGTCCTAGAAGGCCAGGTCACAGACCATGGGAAGAAGGCACAAGCCAGCGTTAGGATAGCAGGGGGAGATTCACATGGGCTTCAATTTTCTCCCTCCCGGCTTCAGGGCAGATGCAGTGCTATGCAGCCCTTATCCCTCACTTCCCTTCCCATGGTTTCAATTCCTTTGTAGCCATATTTGTCTCCTTCTGAAGTGTGTGACAAACTGTTATAAAACGACCCTCTCTGATCTCACTGTTACACCGCTCATAAAGTTCAACTGCTCGGAGCAGGAGGTAGGCAGTGAGGACTGAGCTCCCCACGGTGCTGTTCAGTTTAGGCCCAAAGCAAAGCTGAGCCCCCAGGGTTGGTGATGAGGAAGCAAAGACCCAGGGACAATTTATGTTTGTTGTAGTTCTCCACAGAGAGTGCCCCAAAGAGCAAGCACACATGTATGGCTTTATGGCTCAACTAACTTTAGAAGTCAGGATTCCTTAATGTTAATTAGTAATTTCGTAGACCTATCGACGTGTCATGCTCACATGAATGTCTTTTTTCTCAACCATACGGCCACCCCTCTTTGGTTTTCATTGACTTAGAGTTGCCACGTAATCTAATACCTAGGATTAAAGTCTCGGTTATTTAAATGAAATTTCTAGCTAATATCAAGGTTTTAAAACTACAAACCTCTCATTTCCAGACAAATTAAAGGTTTTGTTTAAGCAGCTGTCTTTAGAGCGGAGAGGATTTAAGAAGGGTTTGTTATTGCTGAAGTCAATGGGCTGGAGAATGTGAGGTCTGGCTCTGCAGGCTCCAGCTGTGCCCATCTGAAGGCACTGCCTGGGCAGTAGGCACTAATCACACACTGGTAAAATTAGAGGTGCCTTCCTGGATGTGTGGAAATGGGAAGAGAGCTACCTCAGAGGAGGGGAGAGCTGTTGACATCTGTAACCCTGATAAACGTTTACACTTTGAAAACAACCACGTACTAGCTCTGTCATTACCCACAGCTGACAGGGAGAACATCCTTTTAAGTCAGTTCAACTGGAGAAGGCTGTTATTATGACAGTTATAATTGTTTTGGCCAAGAGTTGATTTGAATCTGTTCTGGGACTCTAGGTCTCACCCATTCTGACGCTGAGTGAAGGAGACAGCATCTCTCTATGAAGGTCTTGTGGTCCTGGGGCTTGAATCCAAGCCTTCACGTGCTAAGTACATTTCTACCCCAAGTAGCGCCCCAAGCTTATTTCTGTGCTGAGCCAGGAACAGCCTCTGGGAATGGCTAACCCTGAGTTCACTGTTTAACCCTGGGAAAGTTAGTTTAGCATTTGATTATAAATTTTCTTGCTCTTCAGAGATATGAAAGCATAGCTATAGGACTTAATAGTATCCTGGAGGGAACGCTCTTAGTGAGGTATCTGGTATACTGCAACTATTTAGTAGACAGATGCACAAACAGTGAAAGAACGAAGGCAAAGGCTAAATAAGCAATTGAGTGAAAAGCCATACTCAACCTGGACACGGAGAGAGCTTGTAGTATGTGTTTCATCGGTGACTGCATGTAGGAGGAGCTAAGGTGGGAGGAGTTAGGAGAGGAAGAGGAGGAGTAAGGAGGAGAGGAGGAAAAAGAAGAGAAGGAGCTAGGAGACAGGAGAGGAGAACGACAGAGAGAGGAGATGGAGGTGGATGTTCATGTGTCTGTGTCTGTAGCAGTCAAAGGTAGTTGGTATATCTAGGTTGGGTATTGGGTTACACTTCTGATTGTATGGGTATCTTGTTACTGATTATTACCAAACATATAAGCCTTTGATTAATCTTTAAGCATTAGAGTCTCATCTTTCTACTGGGCCCAGGTGGATGGTGGGATGGTCTAGCCAATGCCCAGCCTTGCAGACACAGTGTGGGAGATTGAGTCAGCTCTCATGCTGATGTCTCATGGGTGGCAGGGCTGGCGTTTCTAGTTGGCCATTTCTAGCTGCAGCACCCATGTGGCCTCCAGCCGAGAAACATGGTGGATGGGCTAGGCAGAGCCACTGTAGCTTAGATTGTAGGCCTGATCCTGAGGCCGTTTTTAAATAATTACCACAACAAAGTGGCACACCTTATCGCATATCTGGCTCACTGTGAAGAACCTGTTTGCTTCCTATAACCAGAGACTTTCTATACACAGAATAGCTGTGCACAGGCTCATGTGCCTGGTCCCTGGGACTCCGCTCTCTGAGTTGGCACTACCATTCTCCCAGACGTGAAGCCCTAACTAATTTTCCTTTTTTTCCTTTTACATAGCTGCACATGTCCAGATGCTCAGCATGATCGCTGTTCGCTCAATGCTTTTCAGTTACTTGGAAGAAAGAGAGCACATGGCATCTCTCACGTTACCTTGTGAGGGAGTCTCGTTCATGCTTCTCTGTCAGCAGCAAGGAAGTGGGCTCTCTTTAGCATCATGCAGGAGGGAGCCCCTTCCCTCATCTATCTTCCTCCTATCCAGCCCTGTTTGTTCTTAGGCTCACAGAAGCCACAGGTCATAGGGACAGAGGGGGCTGAGAGGACAGAAACATCCCAACTTTGCTTCTCTTGTCACCCACAAAGGGAAGAAGCCCACCCTATCCAACCTCTGAAACTGTCTTCCCATCCCCAGGGTGCTTCTGATCTTTCTTTCGTGCCTGTTCCAGGAGCCAGGGTAAGGACTTTAGTGCAAGACTTGTCATTCATAAGCTTGTAAACAACCAGGAACAACCTCCGCCTCTCTGGGCTGTAGACGAAGGGGTGGGGCACACTGATCCCCCTGCCTGTCTGTACCTTTCTGTCCTTTGGCAAGTGTTCACACATGGCCTGACACGTCCCTTGCCTCTATTTATACCAAGCGTTTGTACTCATTTGTTAAATAGGAAAATCTGTCTTTTCTTCTCAGCTAGACTAAGAGCTGACCACAAAGACAGATCCTATCGCCTTCTCTATTGTGTCTTCTGGAAGAAACCTACGAGAGAGCCTGTGCAAGCAGATGTTTCCTGATGGTGCTCACACAGGCTTGGGGCTGCGCTGTTGACAGTGGTCTGCACTGCAAAGCACATGCCACTTCCTTGGTCCTGGAAGTCCTATCACTGTGGACCCTGTCCCATGAAAGGAGAGGCTTGCTTGGTGGGGGAGAAGGGTGAGGAGTACAGACTCCAGTGGAGCCACCTCTCATCCTCACCAAGTGGTCAGCTGTATTTCTCTATGTTCATAGTAGAGGATAAAGCCAGTAGAATCGTCTGTTCCCTCACCTCCATCTCCTGTGACAGAAAACTAAAGCAAGAATCATACCCACTGACAGGTATGGCCCTCATGCCTCACTGGACAATGACAGGGGGACCGGAGCCATTACAAGGTCCCCTTCAATTACTGGAGGTCAGGCCTCTATCCCCGCCTTCGCAAGATTAGATTTGTCACAGTCCTTCTATACTTAGAGAAGGGAGGAGATGTCAGGGGCAGCCCTGCTTATACACTGAAGGCCTAAAATCAGCCATAGGTCTAAAATCAGCAATAGGCCTGTCATACATGTATACTAACACCAAGTCTTAGGTCTCTGTGGATAAACACTGAAACAGATGGCTATAAGCTATTGTAAACAGGCAGCTTTTGTGGAAATTTACTAGCCCGAGTAGTCATAGACCTTGTAAATAGGTAGCCTTGGCAGATATTACCAACTTAGATAAGGACAAGTGAATCATAGGCAGACCTATCCCCTGAACCCTCACCCAGCCGACCCTGTTCTGAAAAATATCTGTATTCCGCCTGAACACCCACGCTCCAGTGTCATCCCCTTCCCCACGTCCTGCCTTTTTGTGTTTATAACCCCTGTGTGAATGAGTATAAATTACAATTTGAAAAAAAATATATATATATATGAAACCCTGTCTTAAAATTCCCCCTTCCCACAAAAAAGAGACTAGAAAATCTTCTTGATTTTAACTCCAAAGGTAATGTGTATGCTTTTATGTAAGTGATTAAAAATAAGTTCATATATGGAAAATATATATATATATAAAAAAAAGAATCATACCCACTGTCTGTCCAGTAGATTCTCCGGCCAATCCAGTCCACAGCAAGACCTTCTGTCGTATCTACTTCTTCCGTGATAAGTCTTTCTCGCTGGGAGCCATCCATATTAGCCCTCTCTATCCACTTCAGGGTTGTCTGTGCAAAATATATCTGCGAAAGAGAGAGAAAGAGAGAAAGAACTAGACATTTCTGATTTGTATTCTAAATATTAATGGAGAATATGCATGAAGGATTAACAGGTTTTCAGGTCATGCAATGTAATTATCAGAGACAGACAGACATAGCTACAATAAGCCCCAACTCTGTTACTCCTGAATACGGGTAACCTTGAGCAATTTAATCTCTGTGTGGTGACTTGAATAAGCATGGTCCCCATAGGCTCATAGATTTGAATGCTTGGTCTTAGGGAGTGGCACTATTAGGAGGTATGGCCTTGTTGGAGTATGTGTGGCCTTATTGGGGTAGATGTGCCTTTGTTGGAAGAAGTGTATCACTGGGGTTGGGCTAAGAGGTTTCAGATGCCAGGCCTAGTGTCTCTCTCTTCCTGCTCATCTGGATGTATCTCAGCTACCTCTCCAGTATCATGTCTACCTGCATGCTGCCATGCTTTCTGCCATAATGACAACGGAATAAACCTCTGAACTGTAAGCCAGTCCTAGTGAAATATTTATAAGAGTTGCCATTGTCATGGTGTCTCTTCACAGCAAGGGAAACCCTAAGACTTTGTCTCTGTCTCTGTCTCTGTCTCTCTTTTTCTCCCCTCTCTCTTTTACACACACACACACACACACTCACACACATGCACATACTCTCTCACACCTCTCTCCCTCTCCCTCTCCCTCTCTCTCTCTCTCTCTCTCTCTCTCTCTCTCACACACACACACACACACACACACACACACACACACACACTCTTAGTCCCTACACTGTTAATTTAGTTATCTTTGACCCCTGCTCAATGGCGTCGCCTTTCTACTTAACCCCAGTAGCTTCTTCAGCTGGACAGAAAGCAGTCAACTGTAACTGAATGTGGGACATGAGCTGAGCTGTATCTGCATTGGTCCAGTTCCCAGCACTCCACTTCAGGTGATTCAGAAAACATGGATGCTCTGTCAATTTTACCACTCGCTTGCTTACCTGCCTCAGCTGAGGCACAATGCCTCAACTTCTCAGACTACAGACATGAGGGCATTCGGTCAGCTATTTCCTGAAGTCTCTTTCGTCTCGAGTCCTTCATCTTGCCCACTCTGAAGCTGCAAACTGCTTTCTATGTGGACTATGCAGGCTATGAGATAGACTCTGCTGCTTCCGAAGACATGTAACCATAGCAGCATAATCTCTCTCTCACACACAAGTCACCTGGGGATCTTGTTAAAATGCAGGTTCTAGTTCAGTGGTTGGTGTGGAGCCTAGAATTCTGCAATTCTAATAAGCTCCAGATGGACCAAAAATCACAGGTTTAGTAAGAAAATAAGAACGCTAATCATGAGAACAGTGAACAGCCACCTGACTTATGCTCGGTATCATTTATGTAACCCACTATGTGTTAGGCTGCTGTTTTCACAGAAGTCATGAAGCTTGTTTCCTGATTTGCATAAGTCATTTAGTCTCCTCTCCTGGTGACATATATCAAATGCCCATTACTAACTCATACTTCTTATGCTCCAAGCTCAACCCACCCTCTGCTGCTCACACTAGCAAATAATCAAAACCCTCCTAATGGGTCAGCTATGGGCGAGCATCATGCTGGCCTCCCTCCTGCCCCTCAGAGAGGCAACTGAAAGAAGGATGTTGCAGTAACGAACAGGAAAACAGTAACGAGGAACAGGGTACGGGTATCAGAGCACGAGTGTTCTTAACATTCCTCAAATGCATATATTTAACTTGTTCTGGGGCTAATGCTGTGACTATGGCAGAGCATTTTCAAGTAGCCCAGGTCATCAGTGAAGCTAAAATCCCCCACTTTCATAATCTGTTCATGCATAAGAAAGAAGAATACCTTGCTTTCCACAGGGTCATAATCTAAGGCAAAAACCATTCCCATCTGCCGGCTCAGCAGAGTTCTGTAGTCTGTTCCATCAAAATGCATGTGTCGGATGTCCTGGGAATTTGCAAACAGTAAAAATGGCTGTGGTCCTGTTAACAAAAATTTCAAATACGGTTGAATTGAAAATGCTTTAAACCCCACGGCATTTGTGACTCTTGCTTTTCACTGCACATTCTCCCTTTACTCCCAGAATACTAGTCTACTCAACCTCCTACCAGGGTTACATAGGCAAAGACAGGTGGAAAGACCTCCCCCACTTGCAAAATGTCACTGCAAGATTTTATCCCTGGGCTCTTACTTATCGAAAGGGTGACATTAACCCAAAGCACAGATAAATCACTCAGATCTTTTGGCTGTAACCTCCTTCACACACAGAGGATGAATTCATCAATTCATTCTCCATGGCTGGGTGCTCCTCTGAAAGGGGATCATATCGGAATTATAAGGCTTCCTAATCATTCTCTAAGCTCATTATGTTTTATTAGCCAAGACTTATGGAGTTAAAAGTATCGAAGTCAGACTTAGGCAAGTGTCACACAACCAGAATTACAGCATCTCAGATTATCAGCATGACAACCCTCACCAGACAAAATCAATTTGGCATAAATCTAAAATTTCCACGGGTCGTGAAAGACAGAAAAGATGCAATATCAGCAGATGAAAAGAAGCAGTTGAAGCATAAAACTTCACATTAAAGTTGAAGAAAAAAAAAGAACTTTCAAAATGTTATGATTACTATATTTACCAGAGAGATCAAAATCAAACCAATCAACAAATAGTTATTAAACATTGGTCAACTTTAAACTCTTTAAGACCAACCATGCCCCATGATGGCCTCCCCATTACTAAAGTTACCAGACCCTACTATAAGAGTCTGGATGCCCCCTTAACTAAGAAATAATCTTCATTATTTATGTTGCAGTTGTTTATATTATTCATAGTAAAAAGATTTATTTCCTACATTGTTTTTTCAAATCATATTTCCTACCAGGAATCTGGAAGCAATTTAACTTTGCATGTTTCTAATGTAACACTAGCTTTGTGTAATCTCATTGTCAAGGAGAGACCTTCCAACAACCCCAGCACTAACCTGAAGCTGTACAGCTCTTTTGGTCTGATTGTAGGTCATACCCAGGAAAGCAACCACATTCCCAGGACATTGGGCTGAGAGGAAGACAGAGCTGGCTGCATCCACCATTATCAGGTGATGAACAACCTACAAAAACCAGTCACCGAGTAATGATGTTATATCACACAAAATGTAACTTCTTTTTTTTTTAGGAAAGTACTCTGAGGAACCAACTGTATATCCTTTAGACCCATTTTCTTAATTATTGATACTGCTGTCATCAAGTTTATCTTCAGAGTTTAGAGGAAACTGTCAGTCACAGTATCTTTTTCCCGTAACCCAGCATTTTGATGTTAACCCTTCACATCCCATTGGTCCTCGTCCTTGTGTTCCAATGCATGTTCAGTAACACATGCATTGGCAGCCACCCAGACAAAGAAATGCATTTTGAGTTTGTCCTAGCTCTTCTGCTGGGTAATACAATCCTTCCATCTCATACATTTTGGGCCTCTTGACTTTGGCCTTTTGGTTTGTTTGTTTTGCTTTTCAACTATCTTAATTCACTTTATTTTCAATTCTAGATTTGAGTAATACTAAATTCCACCAAATACGGGATTCCACTAAATACCAAATTTCTTCATAATTTGCAGATTTTATTTAAACAAGTAAAAACGGCTTAAAACTCTTCTGCTAATCGTGAATTCCATCCAGACTTCTGAGGGCTAAAGTCTCTAGGAAGAGAAAAGCCTGGGGTTATTTATTAGCTGCCAACAATATGCTGAGTACTTTGCATCCTTCTGATAGCGCTACGGTCACATGAGGGGTTTACACCACACTGCTAGGAACTGGTAGTGCTAGTCCAGGACTAACAATGTCAAAGAACATTCTAGGAACCACTCTACTGTCTTAAAAAACTCCCAAATATACCTATAAATCTGTTATATAAATGTCTTTCAATACATGGTCATTGGAAGACTTCATCTGCTTTGGCAATAAAATTTTCAGTGTCTCTTAGAAGACTGATATTGTTAAGTCAACAAAGGGCCGATAAACTCACCAATGCATGTTTTCCCATCTGTCCCTAGCACTGAACCTGCGGGACAGATGCACAGGGGACCATCTGATGTCAGGACACAACCATGGCTACACTCTGATACGTTGCCTGGACAGGAAACAAGTTCTAATTAAGAACAAAATAAAATTAGTGTTAAAATAGGTTGTGAAGATTTGTTACAATCAGTTGCTTCTCTGAAAGGAGAAAGTTGAATGAAAAAAATCTAACATTAAAGAGATGCCACAGTATTGAGAAATACCAAAACAAGGAACAAAATAGCAATCTAAATTTTAAAAAAGTAAAGAGCTAGAACTTTAGGAAACTATTTCCAATCTTCTATGAATTTCTCCTATTTTGAATAAGATTTTTAAAGCTGTTAGACATCAGAATTCCAAAATATTTTATGTAGAACTTTACCAAGTGATTCTGGAGATTACCCATGTTGGAAACAGTAAAGGTATTTTGTGTGTGGTTCAATGTTGGAGGAGAAATGAAAAGCTCTTAAAGAACACCAAAGTATATGATAAATGCATAGGAGTGCACCGCGCATGTGCGCTACTGCGCAACCACGCATGTGCGCATGCGCAACTGGAGAGCACCGGGAGCTGGGAACAGGAAAAGACAGAGGATGACATCAGGAAAGGATAGAAAAGTCAGATTAGAGAAGGCTCCAACTGGGAGTGATGTCACACACCTGTAATCCCAGGCACAGAAAGCTGAGGCAGGAGAACGTCAAGATCAGGGCCAACCTACACTACCCTAATGTGTCAAAACAAACTTAACGAAAATAAAACCTTCAAGTGTACACAAGCTGGTGCTAGAGAAGGCGTTATTTTAAATGGGTATGCATATGAAAGTCCAACGGTAATACAGAAATAACTGCTTAGTGATTTAAGCAAACTTAAATGCTACTCTATACCTTGCATAAAAATTAACTCCAGCAAATTTGAACACAAATTTAAAATGTCTATCATAAAAGTTCTAGAAGCTTTGAGAATTAAATAAAACTGTACGTGCTCTTTTTGGCGTATGGTGGGGCCTATATTCAACCCATTTCCATCCAGTCTTTTAGCACATTTACTAATAGGTCAGAAGCAAGTCTCATGTGCAATGATGATAGGCGATTTCCATACAGTTTGTTATTTATTATCCATCAATTTCGATGAGTCTGGTTTCATAAACACAGATGATATACAGACAGACTTATTCTCCATCATCTGTGAAACAAGACTACATAATAAACACGATTTCAACCACATGTCTGTACATTAGTCATGCTAAGAGTCAATGAAAACTAGGACTAGGAGATATCTGACTATGCAATCCTAAATCTGCACTGGGGGGATCCACAGGAATTCACAATGTTTTTTTCTTCCCTTTTTAAAAGTACATTCTAACATTGATGCCCCCCAAGCCTAGAAAAAACTAATTCACTAGCAAATTATATCCTCTAAATACAAATTTTCACATTTGCTTCGCCCTATACTGCAATAATAGTGTCTTGGGAAAGCAGACAGCTAATAAGATAAAGTTTCCTTTATAAAAAGCTTTCTAATTAATAATTAGAAAGAAATAGAAGGACAAGAATATTACTTCAAAACTATTGGTAAAATAATAGATCTAGGAAATATTATTAAAATGTGACTGGTGCGCTCGGTAGCAGATGAATGAACACTGGCTAATCTCAGGATACAAAGAAACAACAGGGCATATCTATATCTTGGTGGAAGTACGAATGCATTTATAATTTATTCTGGCCAAGAAACGTCAATGCCAAATCTAATTCAGTCTATAGTTACAATTACAAGTTCACAGAACATTGTAGGGACATTTAGAAAATGTAGTTGACAAAAATCCGCAAAGCAAGAATCTCTGGAGTAAATAAAAATAGTTAATTTAATTAACACTATTTGAGAGATAAGACATGTTTATGAGAGATGGGTGCATCAAGTTAAAACATGTTATTCAAACAAATCTGTTATGTAGCAGACTTTTTAAAGATGAGGTAAACTAACAACACCCTCTGTAGTACAGGCGTATGTATACTTGAGGGTTTTGTTGTTTATTAGTTTTTTTATACAGCCGAGTAATAAAAAAAATGATATTTGATGCTATTAAGAATCATTGTCAACGTTAGGGGCATAACAGTAGTATTGTGATTGTATCTAAAAACTGACAGATATTACACTAGGGGATTTAGTTCATTTTTCAGTGTAATAATGTATCATCACTGGTTAGTATATGCCTCTCTTTTAAAGATACACAGTGAAATATTAGATAGTACAGATTAAAATAGAAATGTGTTTATTTGTTTATATAGTTTTATTTCCTTCACCCTGGAATTTTTCTTTCTTTTTTCTTTTCCAATATGCCTGTAATAGAGCCTAGTTACTCATGTGGTTGTTGGTTTTTAAGACAAAGTCCTTCTCTGTAGCTCAAGCTGGCCTTGAACTTGTGATTCTCCTATCTCCGCCTTCAGAGTGCTGGGATTACAAATCATACCACAAGGTCCAGCTTCAACTGGCCATGTTTTATAAAGCAAAGTGAAATACATACAACCCCAGGTAACTTTGATGCACACTGCTAACTGAAGACCACCAACTCAGATCATAGCCACCTTAGGGACATTACTGAAAATAAAGTAACTCACTAACGACTCACCATGGCATTGTTTCCCATCAGGAAGCAGAACAAATCCCGGAGGGCATGTGCAGAAATAGGATCCAGGGGTGTTCTCACACCCCAGAGTACAGCCATGATTCTGAAAGGCACACTCATTGACATCTGCACAACGACAACAGCAACCCACAGTCAACATGAATATCCCTGAAAGCAAACTGTGACATCCCCAATTGGCACAAAGTAGGGCATCTCATACGTGTTCCCACTGCAAATCACCATGGGAGGGATACTTCTCCAACCCTCAGAGAGGGCGACAGAAATCAGTTCAGTGCTCACAAAAGTCATTTCTATTGGCCCAGGGTTACTTAGAGACCACTTTCTCACAGTTTTAGACAGGATTTACCCTTTACTAAAAAGTTAAGACAGGGGCTGGAGAGATGGCCCAGCAGTTAAGAACAGTAACTGCTACTCCAAAGGTCCTGAGTTCAATTCCCAGAAACCACATGGTGGCTCACGACCATCTGGAATGGGATCTGATGACGTCTTCTAGTGTGTCTGAAGAGAGCATACTGTACTCACATACATAAATAAATAATTCTCTAAAAATAAATAAAAGTTAAGATGGAATCCCCTGGAAAGCTAGGGACTCCTTTTTGTGACTCCAAGGGTTGATCTGAGGGTCCCATGTGTGTTAAGCCAGGACTCTATCATCTATCACTGAGCTGTATCTATCACTATCACGGTCTCTCTCCCTCCTCTTTGTTTGAGAAAGAGTCTCCCTATGCCTCCACAGCTGGCTTGAACTCATTATGAAGCCCAGGCTGGCCTTGAACGACAATCCTACCATAGCCTCCCTTGCAGCTGGGTTAGAATATTTTAGCCAGTTTAGGATATTTCCTGTTCTGCTTTTGGTCTTTCCCCTCCTCAGGAGCAACACTTCTCAACAACTCTGCTCTGACTGAAGTGCCAGCCTTCGGCATGATCAGCATCAGCACACTGGGCATAAGCAAGGGGCTGTACTATGTAACAGCCATGGGCTACATGTGCCTGAAGTCAGCTAAGTCCTCTGAATGTGTATACCACTGCACCGTCTAAAAAACAAGTTACTTCTCCAGAGCTCCAGGGCTGATTATACTGAACCAAGAATTTCCAAACAGGGGGAGGCCTAGATAAGGAATTCAGTTGGATTCAGTTTCCCTAGGCTCTTTCTAGATCTCATGTGGGGTAAGATACGTATGGAATAGTCTCAATCTGGTGGTAGCTACTGGAATTACTCCTAAAATATAGAAAATTTAAGAAAAGAAATTGTTCATCCTGATATGTTGCACAAAGTCA